CCCCAGGAGGCCCCCGCTTCCCTCAGTTAGACGGTGTGCACGCTCCCCTCCGGGGCTGGCACTTTTTAGGATCACACGACTCTGTCTCTAGCTTAATGGGAAACATTTGCTGGAGAGATCAACTGAATTCCACCAACCTACGCGCACGGCTGAAAGGGACAGAGGCAAGGCAGGCAAAGAGGGCGGACTACCACCGAGGCCCCAAAGACCATTCTCGAGGCCACCGCCAGATTCAGGCTCCGCTCCAGGGGCGGCGCCGGACAGCTCAAGTCCGGACAGGCCGGACTTGAATGAGCCATCTCTCTCAGCATCCTCGCGCCCCCTCTCAGCTGCAGCCCCACCCACAGCTCTCTCTGCCGGCAGCGACCTGTGCTGCACCCACCCCTCTAAAGGCACTCAGTCAAGGTCAAGGGCTGGAGCATGTCCAGGGCTAAAGGGTCTTCTGAGGTTCCGCAGGTGAAATAAACTTGGAATACAGAACAAATTTCTAACAAGTCACGTCCTGTGTTTCCCTCGGGCTTGCAACCCAAATGCTCAGTTTGCTTCAGCGGCACCTATGAGCAATGTGCTCCGGAACCAGCGCGTGAACAGCGAAAAGCGAAGTGTCCTGGGAACAGAACCGAGGAAGGCCCACCTCCGGGTGTGCAGGAGAGCGGCCGGCCCACGGCAGGCTCCGGCGCCCGAGACGGCAGCAGCCCGCGCTGCTCCGGAGCACCCTCTCTGGATCGGGTGCTGGGGGCCTTTCGAACAGCAATCGACATTTTTCTCTTAAGAAAAAATAACATCCTGACCATTTTGCTTGTTTAAAAAAGAAAACGGACAAATTTCCCCCCAAAACTGTAATTTGATACTCTATACCCAGATGACACAATTGACCTCATCTTCTCAAAATCTACCTTGTCCATCCCCTCGGGCATCATCCCCTTCACGGCCCGAATGAGGAGTGTTGGAGAAGCTGTAAAGCTCACTGCGCCATCACCTGAAGCCCCTCAGGACACGTGGTACCCAACGCGCTCTACCGCTCGGCCCTGCCCTGCCCTGCCCTCCCCCTCCCGCCCTGCAATCCTGAACGTCTTGTGCGCATATTCCCTGCGTGTGCTGTGCTACTGCGTGCCCCTGGGATTCTGCTCCTGCCGCCTTCTGCCCAGGACGCCTCCCTGTCCCCTCCTGGCCACCTGACAAATGCACACTCGCCTTCGACGTCCTAGCTCGGCCATGATGTGGCCAGGATGCATCCCTGCCTGCCTGTGCTAACTCTGGGGGAGTCGTCCCCCTCCTGCTACAGCCTGAAAGGAGGCTCACTGCGGTGTAGGTGGTCCATCTCCCTCAGTTCTTCCACCCTGTGCCTTCTCCTGACTAGAATGTGCACTCCCACCTTCGCCCCCGAGACCTCCGGCCCCCAGCACAGCATCTCCCCTGGAAATGAGAGAGAATCCCCAAGCCCTCATCTGAAAGTGGCTGGCATGCGCATCTTCACTGCCCCGAACTCAGTGGGATTGAAAATGATTTGTTTTGCCCCAACACCTTTCCATAGTAACCGGCCCTGGAGCTGCTGTCCCTTCCCTGCTCACCGCCCACTCCAGCAGGTCTCGCCGAGGCCAGGGAAGTTCCCAGCACAGTGTGAAGGCTCCGACACCAGCTTCGTGCTTGGCTGCAGGACCTTCCCACTGTTCATCTTCTACCTCATCCACTAATGGCCCTACGTCTGCCCTACCAAACTGTCCAATCTCCGATTCCATACCCCGGGGCCTTTGCACGGACAAAACATTGTCTCTTGACAGACGTCCTGAAACTTGCCCCTTTGACAAACCGCCGCCGTCTTCAAACCAGCCAACGAGCCCTGTGTCAGGAGCCTTCTCCGGGGCAACAGCAGTGAAGTGCTCGGAGGGGTTTCGAGCACGTGGTGTGTGCCCAGGCCTGTGAGAGTTCAGAAGTCCCCCTCCTCTTCACACCACCCCCATCGGCCAATCAGAGCGTCGGAAGCCCCTTTCACGCTAGACTTTGAAGGGGCAGCGCATTCACACACTCCTACAAGCATCAAGGCCAAGAGACTAGGTCTCCAGACAAGGGCAGGGACTCGAAGGTCCACCTCTCTCACCCTGTCCAGAAGCTCAAACCGAATATTCTTATCTAAGAGATAAGAATACTCGGAGGGGCCAGAAACACTCGGTTCAAATCACAGCCGGGTCACTGAACCTCGCGGAGCCTCAGTTTCCTTCTTTGAAAAACAGACCTTGCCACCATCAGACTTTCTTGTGAGCATTAACTGATCTATGAAGTGTTGGTATTTGATAAATACTCCCTTTTGTCCCTGGATAGAACCTGCACAAAGAGGAGCGGTATACATATGCAAACACACACACACACACGCACGTGCATGCATAGCCCATGTCAGAATCACGCTGACGTGCCCACGTCCTGGAGACGGAGCTGCACCCCCCTCCGGCTCCCATCAGAGGTGAGGGCCCCGGCTCCGGGTTCCAGTCTGGGAACTCTAAGCACAGATGGAGTGTCGGCCCTGCTGTCGGCCCTGCCGTCTCCCCTGCCTGCAAATCACACTCGTCAAAGGTGCGTTTAAAAATACCGTGGCAGCTCACTCTGCCTTGGAAACATATAAACTCAGATGCGCAGCGTCTGTGTGTGTGTGGAGGGGGGGTGGGCTGTGCCCCCCCCCCTTTTTGTAGGCAATTCACATCTCAGTAACACAAACGCTGAGCACAAAGAGCTCAGGGTGGAGGCATGCAACATCTCTCCGAGCTATTTACGTTTTGATGGGTGTACGTGTCTAATAGCACGCTGCTGGCATTTAGCTGTCAAAGCACTCTTCCCCTACCATTTTAATCAATAGCAGTTTTAAATGATAATACTTAAGGATTGCCAGGACGTGGTAGGAAAAAAAAAACAACTATTTGAGACTAATGTTGGCAACATAAATCCAGACTCTTAAAAGACGAAGTCCCCAGAGGCAACCGTCGCACTCTGGAGAACGTGCCCCCGGGAAGTAAGCCGGATGTGGGCAAAGGCGTGCGCACCACGGTGTCCACCGCATTATGTCCATAACGGGGAAGGGTCCCAAACAACCCAATGGCCAAAACCAGAGGGGTGCACCTGGCTGGCATAGCTCAGTGGATGGAGCGCGGGCTGCAAACCAAAGCATCTCAGGTTCGATTCCCAGTCAGGGCACATGCCTGGGTTGCAGGCCATGGCCCCCAGCAACTGCACATTGATGTTTCTCTCTCTCTTTCTCCCTCCCTTCCCTCTCTAAAAATAAATAAATAAAATCTTTAAAAAGAAAAAAAAAAGAGAAGAGTGAGGCATGCTGATGGGCCCAGCAGCGTGGAGTAACTAGCGTGCCGGGCACCCACAGACGGGGTGCGGGCATGGCCTGTGTCCTCCAGGGGCGGCCCCGGGGGGCAGGAGGCCCCCCTGCAAGGCACAGGTGAAGCCCGGGGCCAGAACAAGGAGGCTCAGCTCAGACCCCGTTTTGGTGGTTGGTGAGAGCAGGCGCTCGCCATTACCCCACGGGGCTCCCCAGTGACCCACGTGGACCTGCTCATCACGGTCAAGTGCACTGTCTCAGCCCCACGTGCCTCGGCATTCCTAGGTGCATTCCTAGGTTCGGGGAGTGAAGGAGGAAGATCAGAAAAGGCTGATAAAAGCCATGAGCCATCATCGAGAGAGGAGGGAACTCAATCGTCACTTCCCAAACTGACAAGTCAAGGAACAGCGAGAGTCATGTATTATCTAGAAACACGGAGGAAACCAGAATGAGAAAAGACAGCTGAAGGGATCGATGGTGGCAGCTTTGGGGGTGCAACTGGTGAGTGGGGGCGGTGCAACAGGGAACACCTTGATTTAAAAAAACCCATAAACCTTTGGGGACTATTTGATTATTTCAAATGTTTGCATACCATCTTGATAAAACTCAAACTCGACTGTGAGCTCAGTCTGGCCTGGACAAGCATTATGTATACGTGTTTGGCTCTGAGCACGCTCCTCTCTCTGCAAGCCCCGCCTCTGCCATCGCGACGCAGCAATAGGGTGGCCCACGCACAGACAGGGCCCCAGGAGCCCGACCCCGTGCAGGCAGTGCAGGCCGAAAGCCTTCAGCGCAAAGCCCTGAAGTGCTCGGACACAGACGTTCCGGACGGCGTGTGCAGAAAACGCACGTACACACGATCTCCCCAGTCGGCCGTGTTTACTGAGAGGAGGAAAGGAGCGTGGGCTGAGAACGTTTAAACTTTCAGTCACAGCCTTGACCATAAATGACTGCCTCCCACAGAAGCTATATTCTGTCACTCCAGCCAGGACCGTCACGACAGACATCTAGAGCCCCTCAGACATCATGTCACGGGCCAGGAATTAGCGATGCACGGGCTCTCAAGGTCTCTCAGTTCCCAACTGTGGGAAGGCAGCGACGGGGCGTGCAGTGAGGCCATGCCCCCCGACCCCCATCCAGAGCGGCCACCTCCCCAAACTTCCTGCCGCCTCATGACCAGACAGGGGCTGGCAGCCTCGGGCTGGGCCGTGCTCCCAGGCTCAGGGCCAGTGCCCTGCCTTAGAGGGCACAGTGCCCCCCGCAGTGTGCTGACGGCGGGGAGCCTGAACTCTCCTGCACCTGTGAAGAGCAGAGCTCTTTCCCTTCTGACCACAGGCGCCACCGTTGTTGACGCGGCCCCGGGACCGTGCGGGTGGAGCCCTGCCGCGACAGAGTGAAACACTCCTCGGAAGACACACTGGGGGAACGGGGCTCAGGGCCCACTCTGCCTCCAGGCGGCGGCGCTGCTCGGCCGAGTCGTGGCACTGCTGCGAGTCAGGTTGCTCCCCTGTGACGTGGGCCGGTGCCTGCCCGGTGCATGCATGTGTGCGTGACGGCCGGGGGCCGGGATGAATGCGTGGGAGGGTCCAGCGAGCTGTGAACGACTGGACAAAGGGAAGGAGTAAGGGGAGAAAGAGGAGGGGGCGCTGTCGTCAAAGACATTAACGAGACGAGGACTCACCTTTCTCTGAGGGGGAGGGCAGAGCCGCAGAAGGGCAGAAACTGGGAGCGTCCTTTCCAGAAACTGCAAAGGACAGAAAGGCGGCCAGTTAGGTTGTCCTCACCCTCAGTGTCCCCGAGCTCTGCAGGCATCAATAGAGGGATGATTCGGTGACAGCAAAGTGAGACTCAGAGGGCCGAGATCCCGTCCGACTCCCAGCACCAGCCCTGGGTCCATCAAGGCGGGCGCAAGGACGCCCAAGTGGCAGTCGCAAGACCTCAGAGGCTTTAACCAGCAAAGCGGCGCCTCCCCTGCCCACCACGTGCCAGCGGGCTGGGGCCCGAGACCTGGCATTTCTAGCAAGTTCCCGGAACATGCTGACTCTGCTGGCCCCGGGCCGCACTGTGAGGGCCACTGACCACGGCTCCTGCTGTCAGTGCTCTGTGAGCTCTTCGAGCAAGTCTCAGGCCTCCTGGCGACCGTCCGCCGAGCTCCGCTGCCCCAAGCCCAGCGGCTGGGCCCTGGCACGCCGCTGGTTTGTTCGAATGTCCGTCCTTCCTGGAAGACAGCAGCCCTCGGAGCAGAGATCCTGAGCACCAGTGCAGTCTTCGGAGGACGGCCTGGCCCTCTGTCGAGGGCGTTGAAATGTCCACGCCTTGGTAGCTGTGCTTTTGGGAATTTATCTTGCAATCCAAAGCGAGCTCAGTTTGCGAAGGCACCTTTAGGCAATACGGATGAAACGCTGGAGAGGAGATCGCACTCGGACGCCCCGAGAATGGTGAGTTGAGACATGCCAGGCAGCTCACCTCAGCAGACAATGGGTCGCCTCGTTCTGCTGCTATTGGTCACTTGCTCTTTCTCGCCCACCATCATCAGAGTTACATGACAGGGTGCCACTCATCCTGTGGGTGGGACCTTCTCACTGCACAGGAGTGGCTGCACTGTGAGGGTTCTCAGCTTCCCTGGGCCCTTGCGGCACTGAAACCGTCAACACCCCCCACCCCGTGTCCCTGGGAGGATCGACATTGCCCTGGGGACCCTCTGACGGTGTCATCTCACTGTGTAACCTTGAGCAATTTGCTCGGCTAATGCACATTAGCAAGGGATCACTAAACTTTCTGGGACATCAAGTTGGTAGCTTGATTTACACCACAGCAAGTGGCAGCCGCTAGAAGCCCGGCTTCCCTCCACCTTCACTGGTTGTAAAATACCTGCCAGCGCACCGCTGAGTGGGGTGTGGCAGCAGGTGCTACCTCGCAGGGTTGTGTGGGGACAAAATAAGATGTTTTCTGCAAAGTGCTAGCCTGGGGCCTGGAGCCAACTCTGCACTCAGCAAATGCTTTGCCAGCGTGTGAATGACGGCGAAGAATGGATTGTACGGAAACTCCACCTACGTGTGGCAGCTTCTGCGAAGGGTGCAGGCAGACCTAATTAGAAAAGCCTGCCGCTTCCTTTCCAGGTTAAGTTCCTGGAATGCCACATCTAGAATTGCTGCAGGGTACAAGTGCATGTGCTTGGCAGCAGAAGAGAAAAGCTGTGAGGTCTCCACTGTATTTTCAGAAGCCACGTCGGACTCTGTAAACCAACCAATGGCCCTGCCCCGCGTGCAGGCCTCACCCAGCTGCAGAGAGAACGGGCAGCCCAAGTCTCTTCAAAGAGCACGGGGTACCTGGCTGCAGGGCCCCGCCCCCTCCAGGAAACCCAGGTCTCTGGGGCAGTGCTTGACCGCAGAGCTGCCCTTGTCCCCCTGCCCTCCCACCCTGGATGTACGAACACTTCCTGTCTGGGTCCTGCTGCCGGGAGCAACGGGCAGCAAACGGCCTCGTTTGCATTCACGATGGCTCGTTCGGGCCCTCGGTTCTGCACTAAGACCCGTGGGACCTGGCGTTTGCTGTGGACAGCAAAGTCAGAGGGCACATTCCTGCAGGCTCTGCGGGTGCCCTCTGGGGGAGCCCTGCGGCCGGCGTGTGCCTCTCTCCTCCCAGGGGCCACCTCGGCCTCCACCTCCGTCCTGTGAACAGGACTCTGGCATGGAGGCCACTGACGCACGGGTCGTGGGGAGCTCCCTGAGGGCTGTGGTATGGCTGAACAAATGGATTCTGTCCCAAGCTTCTCCCGACCCGGTTCATCCCTGAGCAATATAAGGACGGGAAATGGTGTGTCCCGGCATTCGGTGGGACGAGGAGATGGGAGGCGACATGGGAGGAGAGACGCGTTACATTCTAACGGACGAGACGAGGACACCGAGGGAACCCGGCAGAGGGAGCACCTGCCGGCTCCCCCTGCCCAGTGACAGCACCTGAAGGACACTGCGAGGGACCCCTCCCCACCAGCGCCTGCTGCTTCGCTGGGCTGTCACTCCAGCTGCCCCGCCCTCGTGGGCAGGCTCTCAACCACGCTGGGCCCAGCCCTCCCCCCTTGAACTTAAAGCTTGACCGCAACCACCCAGACCTTCCGGAGGAGGACAGCGGTGACGGTGACGCACGAGGACGTTGCCCGCTCCTTCCCGCTCAGCCCGCCCGTGCGCTGAGGCCTCGCTGGTCATCTTTCCTCTGAGTCTGTGCTAGACTTCCCACAAATTCCTTTCCTGCTTCTGTTGTTCCGCACCCAGTGAATCCCGAATCATCTCCTTCCAGGCCCCAGGACACGACCCGAATGCACGTCTGGACCCCGGTCAACTAAAGACGCCCACGGAGCTGTCCGGGGCACCCTACGTACTCACCAGGCTTCTGGTACCACCCGAAGGGGTAGGTGTGCACCTCGGTGTCGGGGGAGCTGCAGTCCCAGATGCGCCAGGCGCCTCCGCTCTCCTCGCTGCAGCTCTGAAGCCCCAAGCTGTTCAGAGTTAGGCATGTCACCTCTCCACCTGGAGCAAGCAATAACCGGGGCCAGGAAAGCGATCAGGATGGAGATTCTAACTGAAAGAGGGAGCGTCTGCACACTGTTCTTTAGCGGGTATTTGGGGTGCACGACTGTATTCGAGGCATGACGTTAGCCAGGGATGAACCACCTGGCGGCTTGACGCTCGCTGGCCCGACAGCCCAGGGCTGAGAGTGACTAGGACTTAGGGGGCGCCATCAAGAGCCCAGGGCTGGGCTAGGGCCGTCTCCTCGGTCCCTGGTCCTCACGCGCCCTGCGAGCGGGTCGCACTCTCATCCCCACTTACAGTGGAGGAGACCGGGGCTCAGAGATTCAGGGACTGTTCCTCGATCGCACCGCTAGCGCATTTTAAGCACAGCTCACACGAATGGACGAGAAGGCCACTAGGTGAGGTGTGGAAGGCAGGCGGTCCCGATCGGCGGGGGGAGGCAGGGTGTGGGGAGCTGACCGGGCACTGGACCAGGAGCCGTGCTCCAGCCGTCACATTTACGAACCAGCTCCTTCTCTAAGCCCCTGCTTCCCACCCGAGAGCGGGGGTCGCTCCTCCCCACCCACCACACGCAGGGGCTGAGGATTAGATCAGATCACAGGTGCTCTACGCAGGGGGGTTTGCTACCACTTTCACCTTTCAACTGGGAGACATTCAGGAAGCCAAAGCCAGTGCAGCAGGGGTCCAGGTCGCACCGTCGTTCGCACTCGAAGAACCTGGCATGAGAGGAAAGAGGGGAGGCCTGAGGGATTTCACGGGCAGCCCAGGACCTGGGGACGGTGCAGGGCTGATTGCAGTCACTGCTACTTCTGGGGCCCGCTCTCTCTATGCCCACCTAAACCGGGGGCGCTCTGGCCAAGATGCATGGGTGGACTCCTAGCTTTGAGGGTTTTTCTGAAAACACGCTACTCTCTTCTTGGGGATACTGTCTCACCACCCTTCATTCGTTCCCTGAACAAGGTTCCATGCCTATTCTAGGCCAGGCCCCGAGCCCAGCCAACCGGCATCCTGAATGTACTCCTACAGTCCTTTCAGACAGGGAGAAAGTTCCAGCTCCGGGTTCTAAGAAAGGGGAAAATGGTAGGGAAGATGTCTCAAGAAATGTGTGTGTACCGGGGTTGGGGGCGTCCCACGGGCTTACGGGTGCAGTGACCCAAGCAGGTGCCTGGTTAGGTGGCAAAGAGCTGTGCTCTGTCCCCGCCCCATGCCCTTGTGCACTCCACCTTGTGCGCACGCTGACCGCACCCCACGACCACACCTCTGTTCGCCGGGCCGCTGCATCCAGGCGCCCCCTCAGGACCTACTCAGGGTGGCTCCCCGACCTCGCCCTCGGCTGCCAGGACCAGTCCTGCCAGGAGGAACCCAGTGGCCCCAAACCAGTGCCCGGGGCTTGGTCCTGAGTCCCCCACCCCGACCTGATGCCCCGGTTCAGATCACTCATTCCCGACTCCCGAGAGCTTGCTCCACCTGAGCTCTTCCGTGTGGGGACCCCGCTCATTCTTGGTGATCTCCCCCCGCCCTCTAGACGCCCGTGAACCCGAGTCATCCTGGCGGGCGGAGCCTCCATCTCCCAGGCAACCCCTCGGCCTCTGGCTGCACCTGCGTCCTGCCGGAAACCTCTCCCAGCACCCTGCCCACCTGCCCTGTCACCAGTTTACCTTTGTTGGAAGCTCACTGCTGAGCCCCAGCCTGGATACTGTGCTTCCCCATCGAACTGCTCTGAGACCCCAGCCCCGGCCCCCACACCAGGGTCAGGCTGACCGCGGGGTTCCAACCCCGCTTCTCCTGCTCCCCTCCCCCACCCACACCAGCAAAGGCGGAGCGAGGCCCAACCTCCAGAGAGACTATCTCACACCATATTTTTATCTCCATTCCCAAGAGATCTTAAAAGCCATGTGACATGGTTTTTACAAATCAACAATACGGTCCAGAGCAGCAAACTCATAGATCAGCGATCCGCATCCCAGAACACAAAAGCACCGCCAGGAGGAAGCTTATTTAGAATTCAGGGGGCTGAACCCCACCCCGGGACATGCTGACTCCGCAGGTCCGGGCGGACTCAGGTGTGGCCCGTCGCAGGTCTCCCTGCGGGTTCCCATGCGGGATCCGCAGACGAGGCTCAGAGAAGCAACGCCTCCAGTGAAGACAACTACATCACAGCTAACTAACTAAAAATACAATAAAGCACATTTCTAAAGCACTGCGTAAAATAAATTGTAAGTCCAGAGAAGCCTACGGCCCTGTGAAAAGTCCAGTTTGCTCTCCAGATCCTGCACACAGCACACTGGGACTTTGCCCACCAAGTTCATTACAACATCAGGTCATTGTTACTCATTGGTAAGGCCTGGCTTGTGCCTTTTTGCATTTGCTTTTGCATGCACTGGCTGGTGGTCCGGGGCTAAATTTCATGTTTAACCAATGACCTACTTTAGCCACGTTCTTACACACGGTTACTTTCTTCTTACGACCTTTTTCAACCTTAGCTTTGAGGTTCACAGTTTTTAATGATGCCTGTGCATTTAACAGATACTGTGCCACCCCTTTCATGCAGTGAAGAGGCTTCCTAATAAGCATCAGCCGCGGGGCGAGGCCGCTTACCCATTGGAAATGGGCTTGTCAGACATGGGCACCTTGTTTCGGATGGAAATCCCCGTCAGCTTGCGGAAGGGCAGGCGGGTGTAGAAGTTCTTCACTTTGTCTTGCAGCACAACTGCTCGAGGGAAGAAGGAACGTGTATCACTTAGGGAGAAGTTGGTTGTCTCCACGAAAGTATGAGGATGAAGGTGCACGAGCCAGACAGAGAGCTTCCAGTGAAAGATGCCCGTGAAACTCCCACCCAGTCTCCCTCAAACGACAGTGGAGGGACGCCGGTGAAGGCATCCCACACACAGAGACGAAGGGACAAGGACAGGGGGTACAGCGACACGGTGTTCCAAGCCTAGAAAGCACAGAGAAGAGTACAAAATTGAGTTAACAGACCTAAAAACTTTTAGGCCTTTTCTGCAGGAAAAACCCAGAAGCACCTCCCTGCACCTTCTGGAATCCCTGAAGGGTTAAGTGGGGCAGCGAGAGGACGGAGGTGGGATGGAAGGGGTGGGCACAGGGTCCCTTCAGGGGGCGATCAGGTCTCCAGACGCCCTCCTCTGCTGTCTGCAGGGGCAACAGCCCTCCCCCAACACAGAAGCAGATCGAAGCCTTATTTTCTGCAGAGGACAAGACAGAGAGGGTGTCGTGGGCGCAGCAGGTACAGTTAGTGGTGGGAGTGCCACATGGAAACTAGAGGATTCTTTCAGGTCAAAGCACATGGTAAATACTGAGACTCTTTCTCCCAGCCTTACTCAGGAGCCAAACCAACAGCCCCCAGCTGTATGCCCCCAGGCCGACCAGAGCGATCCCCCAGAGGTAGCCCAACCAGATTAGCCTGCAGGGAACCCCGAGACCAGCAAACTCCCACTGCGCACTCCCGGCTTCCGGGTCAGCTGTGTGTGTGTGTGGGGGGGGGGGGAGGGCCTCATCTCGTGTCCCAGTGGAAAACCAAGGGTCCCCAGATGTCTGAGAAAGGCCTCCAGCAAAGACGACAGAACAGAAAATGGAAGAAACGGAGACTGCATAAAGTGAAAAAATCCCCCCGCCCCAACAAAAAATAGAGTCCTTCATGCCCTCGGAGAGAAACACCCACTCTGTTTTGCAGGGCCCCAGTCGGTGGGGTCTGCCGCAATCCGGCGGGATGCCAGCTGACCCGGGCACTGGCGGCAGCCTTCTCTGAGGAATTATTCTCAGAATAACCCCAGGGCAGAACCATTCTGGACAGTCAACCCGATGCGTTTCCGAGGGGCTCCCCACCTCTACGACGAGCGTGGACGACTTTATCTTTTGTAGCACGGGGACCATCTGCACACTTGCGCCCAGCGGTCGGGCCGCTGCCTCCAAGCGCTCACCTTTCTTCCGGAACAGGGCGCTCGGCCGGTGCGGCAGGAGGAGCCGGCAGCCCGTGGGACGGGAGTCCAGGACATCGTCACACACCAGGGCCTCTGGGTAGAGGGTGCAGGTGAAGTACGAGGCAGCGCTGTCCCTTGTCTCCGCCAGCTGGCAGAAAGAGGGCTCCCGGACGCAGCCTACAGGCGAGAGGGCACGGGGGTTAGGGCCTGGGGGCCCGCAGGACATGACAGCTACCTCCGAGGGGCCTTCTGAGAAGCCAGGCCTCCCAGGGGCTCTTCCTGGGCAGGGCGGAGGCTGGGACAGCCGAGGCCGTCCAGGCTGGAGGGCCCGAGAGAACCCCTGGGGTTCTGAGAGCAGGGAGTCCACGGGCTCTGCGGAAAGGCCGAGTCTCACAGGGAGAGGGGTGGGCGGTGCAGGGGGAGAGAGGGTGCAACTCCGCCGGCTCTCCCCGGGACCACCTCGGGGACAGTCCGGACCTTCCGACCAGAGGCCACAGGACTGCGAAACCACCGTGAGCTGGGTGGGTGCCCTCCCGGTTCCCACTCCCGAGCTGGGCCTTGCCACGGGCAGGCGTGAGCTCTCTGACCGGGGTAGTTCCCCTGGGTTAACCACCAGGCCCAGAACGTAGGTTCTGTCTGGTGGGTAAAGGGTGGGTGAATGGATGGGGGGGTGGGTGGGCGGATGAATGGATGGGTGGGTGGGTGGAGGGATGGGTGGGTGGGTGGATGCATCATCGGCGCTGGGTGCAGAGTAGAAATTCACTACAGTATCAGCCTCCTGAAGGCATGGGTTATGTCCTTTGTTCATGTCACCCGTGGTCCTAACACTGAGGTGACCTGGGACTTATGCCCTTGACTTTGATCCTAAACGAGGCCCGTGGCGCCCGACCAGACTTGGATGAGGTGTTAGGACACTCACGAGACAGACACCACCGGTCTGCCTGCTGCGGTGAAAACAGGCGTTTGGAGAGGTAGAGCTGCTGGCTGGGCAGGGGTCTGTCCCCACCGACGGCGACCTGGCTAAGCTCCACAGGCTCGAAGAGCTGCGCTGCCGAGTCTGAAACAGAAAGGAGGAGTCGGTCGCCGCTCTGGTCCTCACCTCCACAATCAATCGGTGGCTCACTCTCTCTCCCCCCCCACCCCCCCCAGTCAATAGAGCTGGGAGCCTGGACGGGCAAGGAAAGTTCAGAAGGCCCCAGGAAGTCCTAGCAGTCAAGCAGTCGCAGAACTCTCTGAATCCTGGTTTGGAAGAAACCATGGGAGCCGTCTGGTCCAACTTTTCGCCCGAGCAGGACTTTTTCCCATGCTACTTCTGGCCACCAAAGCTGCAGACCCTGGTGACCCCAGCTCGTCACCTCATGGCTGCGGCCATTGCCCGAGTCTGCCTGCAGGTATGCCTTCCTCCTCGCCCACCTGGCCCTCCTGCGCTTCAGGGACCAGGCAGCCCTGTCCCGCTCTGACGGTCTGTGGCTCTACAAATAGGTTCTCCGTGCCTGGGGGCGGAGGGATACTTGTGCACCCCAGAGGGACCTACACTGGGGGGGCACGAAGCAGGTCGTGGAGACGAGCGGGGGCCCAGTTAAACATCCCTGCAGTCCCCAAAGCAGGGGGGTGGTGAGGGGGTTAAAATATTTACGAGATCTGCCAAGGCCAGAAGTCTAGTGCTGGCCGACACCCCAGGGACCAAGTGGCCACGCGCCCCTCCAGGCCGCCCCAGCCCTGCGGTCACTGCATCTCACGTGGCTGTACAGCGGCCTGTGGAGTGAGGAAGGAAAATCGAGGCAGCAGGCCCGTGGCCCCCCGAAGTTCCTCCAACCACACTCTGCCCTCGGAGCCTGTGCATAGCCGTCCCCCTACCTGGGGCCCCTCCTCCCAGGTGCCCCCCGGAAACGTCCGGCAGATCCTTCCCGGCCCCTTGGAGAAGCCTTTCCTGACTCCCGCGGGTCACTTAGCATCCCTCCTCCCCTGCACCCTCCCTTCACCTGTCCCATCTCAGCCCTCGTCACCATGTGCGTGGTGGCCGGCACGTGGGACCCCTCCTCGTCTGTGGAAGCCCCCCGGGGCACAGCGATGTGCTCTGGAAGGGTCTGGAGGGCACGGCGCCAACACTGAGCTACCCGGTGTCCCTGGTCCACACGCCGTTGCAGGAAGAATCCGCTCTCTCCTAATTCTCTCAGACTTGGCACCCACCCCCTTGCAGGCAAGCAGGATGATCTCGTTACCTGCTCTGCCTGCCCTCACTCAGCCTGGCCACAGCGCCCCTGAGCGGGGAGGGGCGCACTCCTCGCTGGCCGTGAGTCTGAGGGAGCAGGTGAGCGAGCCCGCGGCCCATCACCACGGAGCCGGTCCAAGGGCTTTTTCTGCTGCTGGGCCTCATCGCTTTACGACCGGGAACGCAATCAGCTGAGAAGGGAAAACGAGCCGAGCTTTGTCTACACAAGCAGAATCCCTCCCAGGTCTGGGGTGGGAGGCGGCAGCTCCCCTTTGGTGGGGGGAGGGTGGGAAGGGGATCCTTCCTCTTGGAATCCTGGGGCAGCTTTGTCGATAGCAGCCCTGATGCAGCCCTGGCGTGGTGTACAGGGTGGATTTGACAGCATTCCCACGGACGCTGCCACAGGTCGCCTGTCCACCCTCATCGGCACCCCTGAGGCTGAGCATGGCAGACACCCCCGGGCGGCAGGAGTGTGGGGGCTGTGCGGGGCCAGGGCGAAGGGGGGGCACGCCCTGAGGGAGGGGGAGGCTTGTCTCAGCTCCTAGGACTTCAGGGTAGCAGGTGGAAGTCTGAAGCCAGTGTTACCAGGGCTTTTTCTGTTTTTCTCCACAGAAGCTGAAACTCTGAATGTTTACATAAAGATCTCCCAATTTAAAAATACTGGCGTAGTCTAAAGAAAAACAGCCAGCCCTGCAAATGAAACGAAACCCTTCTGCGCTGTCGGTTCAGGGGTCCCCGGGACCCGGCTCCCAAGCCCACTCTGCCCGTGCCGGGAGCAGCGGGCGCCGCAGCAGAACCGGGGCTTCGGCGGCAGCCACACGCGGTGTGCGTCCTGGTGCTGCTGCCTGGCTGGCGCCGGACTGGCCTCAGCGGGGCACCCCGGGGCACACACTCCCCAAAGCCTCACGTTCCTCACGTGCAACGTGGGAACAACAGTGCCGACGGGCAGAGTTGCCGTGACACTGGCGAGATGATGCCTATAAAGCACCAAAGGGCCCCCAGGCGGAGCGGGATCGAACCCCGCTCTCCTGACCTGAGAGCCCACACTCTACACCAGACACAACCCTCAGTCCCACCACGCCACGGACGCAGCGTGAAGCCACAAAAGCCAAGCAACTGCGATGGGATGAGCCCGTCTGGGGTGGTTTCCGTGCGTTATCTCATCTGATCTGCACGAAAGGCCCGGAAAAGGGAAGATACTGCTGTCTGGGGGCACATGGTAAGTACCAGCCAAGGCTCCAGGTGTTCTGGCCGGAATGTAACCTGTAACAGCAGGAGGGGAGAGCACGGTACACTCTACACGTGAGGAATCGAGGCCCTCTGCGGGTGAGCGAAGCACCCGTGGCCTCGCACCTCGTCTGTCTGCGGGGCAGTGGGGCGTCTGGCCCACGAGTCCTGCGTTCTCCCCAGGCTGGCAGACCGGCCTGCCTGCCCTGCCTTCCCTCATCTCTTCTCTTCCTCCTCTTCCTCCTCCTCTTCCTCTCCCTCCCTCCCTCTCTCTCTCTCTCTCTCTCTCTCTGAGTTTTGGCTCTGCCTAAGGAGTAACGATGGTAGATGCTGGAGAAAGAGAAGTCTCAGGCACCACGTACATTCTGCCCCTGTTGTTGCCCGCATTTGTACTTTCCACCGCAGAGAACCGCTGCCTCTTAGCTCTGGCTGGCGCAGCTCAGTGGATTGAGCGCGGGCTGCAAACCAAAGTGTTGCAGGTTCGATTCCCAGTCAGGGCACATGCCTGGGTTTCTCTCTCTCTCTCTCTTTCTCCCTCCCTTCCCTCTCTAAAAATAAATAAATAAATAATAAAATCTTTTTAAAAAAGAAAACAACAATTAAAATTTTAAAAAAACACTCCCTCTCCTGGCTGGCATAGCTCAGTGGATTGAGCGTGGGCTGAGAACCAAAGTGTCCCAGGTTCGATTCCCAGCCAGGGTACATGCCTGGGTTGCAGGCCATAATCCCCAGCAACCGCACATTGATGTTTCTCTCTCTCTCTCCATCTCTCTCCCTTCCCTCTCTAAAAGTAAATAAATAAAATATTAAAAAAAAAAAAAAAAAGCACTCCCTCTCAAGAGGCTCTCCTGGACAGCTCACTACGCAACAACTCCACGGGGCTCACATTCTGCTCACATTCCCCAGGGCTTACCTGGGTGAGGCCACTGACCTCAGTCGGGTGAACCTTGCCATTTAATGAATGTTGCTGGCTTTGACCTTATGGTTGTTTTCCTCCCGGGAGCGGGGGTGACTCTGGGATGATTTCGCCTTACCTTCTGTGCCAGCTGCCCCTCGGAGGAGCTGTCCATACTCAGGGTTATATAACTGCCCGTGTCACTGGGTCACAAGCCGCAGGATGGGGCTATGTAATGGGTCCGTTCATCAATTCGACCCTTTGCATCACCACCCAGTCTCCACAGCTACGCACCCAAGTTCACACAAAGGGTCTGGGGTTGGTACCTGTTTCCACTGGCGATGTTGACCTTGGCTCCATGTCCCTTTTACATCCCATAGACTCGGGCCGGGACCCCATGTCAGAATCTAGGAGGAGAAAGAGAACTGTTGTTTCACTGTTGGGGAGGAAAAGGGGGTCAGCGAATGGCACTGGCCGTGGGAAAAGTCCCCCTGGTCTGCGCTAGGTGCCCAGGACAAGATCTGGGACAGATCTCGGGACACCATCTGCACTCTCTGGCCTCTTGTGGACCGTCAACCATCCTCTCCGTATCAGAACTACTATTGTCCTTGGTATTGAACTTAGTAATACCTGCAACCCCCTTTAAAGTTAAGGAACTACGGTTCCATAAATATCAGTCTTTACAACGCCCTGTGAAGGTAAGGGGCAAGGCTTCCAAATTACTCTGGAAAAAACCGAGACTCAGAGAGGCAAAGGAACTCATCCCAGACGTGCCAGGGATAAGCAGACAAGACATCCAGGTTGGGAACCGGAGGCAGGGTGAGCTGATGAGGGGAGGGGGGCACTAGACAGGTCGGAAGGGGTGCTTCTGTTTAGGGCGGGAAGTATGCTGGGTATCCTGGGCAATCTCTCAATTAATCACCGGCCAGTGCATCGTTTACCAGAACTTCCTGATAACTGGGAAGCACTGGACTTGGGCACAGTGCCTGGGCCCCACCCCCGGACCGCCCGCGGGCATTTCACTCAACACTCCGGGTCTCGTTTTCCTCGGCTGAACAGTGAACAAAAATGTCACCCCCTCTGTGTACTGACGTTATCAGTAGGACTAAGGGAGAAAAGCAGCATATGATCTCATCATCTCATTTTAAAATAAAAGTCATGATGGGCACGTTCTTCTTTCTTTTTCTTGCCCTCCCCTTTCTTCCCCTTCTTCTTCCTCTTCTTCCTTCGGCCCCCCACCATGCCCCCCACAACCACCACCTACCGTAGTCAGCATGTGTTGGGTGCTGGGCACAGTTCTAAGCCCTCTGCCCGCATGCCTTGCCAATGCTCACGCAGCTCTACGAGGTGAGTCCTGTTCTTACTGCGGTATTGCCCATGGGGGGTCGAAGCTTAGAGGGGCTAATTGGTGTGCTCGAGGGCACGCGGGCGCTAAGCAATGGAACCAGAGTTCACACCCAGGCTCGCCACATCCATTCCCTGTGCTCCTTACACCACTCCACGAGCACAGAAAGAGGTCACCGGTTCTCTCTCTTAGGGGACTGGAGACTGGTGAGGAGGGACCACGGGAAAAGGGAGGAAGTGACTCGGGAGCCAGGGACATGTTCCTCGCGCCTCTCACCCAGCACCTGGGTCCGTGACGTGGAACGGTCCCCTCCTCGCCTGCTCCCTCCTGAGACTGGGAGCCGTACAGGTCCAGGCTGCGCCTTACCCATCCCTGCCATCCCACAGTCCTCAGACCCACCCCAAATGCCTGCCCCCGTCCCTGGCTCTGAGCAGGCATGTGGTCAATGCATCTGAAGTAGCAGGAGCCCATGTACCACCCACCTGGGGGCTTGTCCCTTCACCCTGACCTCGGGGAGAGAGGCGCCTGTGGCCAGGCCCCCTGGGAGAAACGCCCCCTGCAGCTGGCCTTGGCCTCGGCCTCAGAGCCCCCTTCCTGGGAACAAGGTCAGCCTGGGGTCAGAGAACTGGACCACACAGGAGCCCGGGCTCCCTTCTTCCATCCTTCCTTGGTTCCCACACTTTTCATTTTTCTTTCAGACTCTGGTATCTCATCTGATGAGAGCTGGGGCCCTTCTACTGCACACAGAGCGTGAGCTTGGAGAGAGAGTCTACCGTTTCCTCTCCGGGGGCCCGAGTGCCCGGTGAGCGAGGGTCGGGGCCAGGCAGGCCCGTGCCATCACCTCACCCCCCACACCCCACCCCCCCACCACAGAGCTCACCTTTCCAGAGGTACACCTGCTGGAAGCTGGTCCAGGAGTCCGGAGCCCCTTCCAGGGTCGAAAGACCTGCCAAGGAGGATGTTCGTGGCTATGACCTTGAGTGGGCTTGCTCTCACAGGGACCCAGTGGCCACACCGCCTCGGTTCCCCCACACTGCCCTCTCCTGGGTGCACCCCTAGCAGCCTCCCAGAGCTCCCTCCCAGCAACCTGGCACAAAACCAGAGCCGCCAGAGCCCTGGTGTCCAGCTCAGGGCACCAAAGAGACTGTCGTGGTGAGGGGTCATGGACCCGTGACAGAGAGAATCACTTAAGGAACCAGTCACTGGCTTAAAAAGAACAGAACACCTAGGAAATCTGAGAACTCTCTTAATATTCTGTCTCTTAAGTCCCCGAGACTCTTGCCTCCTTGGCCAACGGGGACGGTAATTGTGAGGAAGGGACCAACGTCCGGAGACTGTTCTCTACAATATTTGACACGCACCCTATTATTACCGGTAGCTGCCACTATTTAGTTTATTCCTGATATCATGACGTTTTCTTTTCCGCCAAACGACACCTCCCTGGACACCACCCTGTGGTGGTGAGACTGGACCCACCGCACCGTTTCCTGATGTGCGGGTTCCCCCCTTGTCTCTGTTCAGCCCCGGGGTGCCGCCCGCTCCCCCTGTGGTCCCAAAGGCGCAGGACAGAGCTCAGAGGCACAGACTCTGGAGGCCAACCACCCCCACACGGCGGGAGACAGCTGGCTCACAGCTTGAGACAATAAAAATGATCTCATCTGACCTTTAAGTATTAGTAAGAGCTGCGGATTACAGTAGCCAGTGATGATCAGGGACCTTAGCCAGGGACCCAACACCGTAATAAGTACCTTCCACGTATGGTCTGATTTCAACCTCACTGGTCGGCGTTGAATGTCCAGGTGGAGACCAAAATGCCGGAATTCAAACCCCATCTCTCTGGCTCCGTATCCCACACTCTAATCCCCACACTCGGGAGAGGATGACCTGCTATTTTAGACTTCCATCCGTCTCCAGTGGCAAACACCCTGAAAGGTCCTTGTGTTTAGAGAGGCGTGCAAGGGAGACTGGGGAGGTTCAGTGGGACACTGGACTACGTGGGAGGCTCGGGTATTAAAGTGACGAGTCCCCACCACCAGGAGGGCCGGGGTCCAGGAGTGAGCCCCAGATACTGAGCCGTGCTTCCGCTCAGCTCTGCCTCTGAAATGGAAGTGAACGGTGACGCCGGAACTCCTCGGGCTGCCGGACACTGAGGCCGTCTCCCGAACCGGCCCACTCGGAATCCTCTCCCGGCCTCCTGCAGGCTGTGGGGGTCAGCTGCAAAAGCGTGGGGAGCGAAAACCTACGGTGTCGGGGGGACGTGCACTTGGACCTCTGGAGTGAGAGGACCCCCTCTGCACCCCACAGAGGAGACCCACCACACACTCCCGTGACACCAGCACAGAGTGGGCCGTCTGCGCAGGTGGTGTCCGGTGTCCACTGTGAACTTGTGATAACATCTGTTTATCATGAAGGCCAGGCTAGGAGACCTCGAACCTCATCATAAGGGAAATTAAAGAATTTTAAAAATATGTTTTTATACCCCAGTCTATTTGGAACAACTCTTACAAAACATTATAGATAAAGTTTTGGGGGGAAGCATATAAAAAAATAAAACTCCAGGCCATGCATTATGGTTCTTAGCCTGTAAAGGTTGGAGAAGTGACATCTTATCTCTAGGGCACTGTATTGCTCTCAAACCTGAGACTGAGCCCAGCAACCACTCTGAGACATAGTCGATCTTGGGGTAAATGGGCTGAGCATCAGATGACGGACTTCCAATAAGTATTCATTCAGATGCCCATTCCTGGCCCTGCCCACGCGCAGTGACCCTTCAGGGAGTTCCAAGAGGAGGGGCCACACCACCTAGCAGTCCCCACTTCTGATGCGGGTGAGTCTCTGAGCCTTTCACGTGGTCCTAAGGTTCTTGTCTTCATCTGGTAAGAATGACCCACTTTACGTGGAGCGGAAAGAGAACTCACTCGTGCCCTCCACTGCCCAGAGAAAAGCAGGTGCCCCACGCAGAAGCACGCAGGGGTCAGGACGTGCTCTGGCCGAGAATGCACTGCAGTGTGTTGGGAACCAGCCCTGGTCATGCACTTCTGGTCCATCTCACGACAGTGGAGCCCCGCGTCTCCCAGCCTGGTGAGCCTCCACCTCGTCCTTGGTTTCGGCTCACTTTGATGCAGTTCAGTCCCCGGAGTTCAGTTAAACTCCGCATATGAACGCTAGCACCTCGGTACAGACGGAGATCGCCTGACCAGCGTCCACAGAGACTGCTGAGTCCTGAGATGCATCTTTGTGAGTCCCCACCAGGAAGTTCTAACCCCGCCCCCGATGGTTCTAATTATCAACACGATTGCCTAGAACCCTTGTCCCCTTTCACCCAGCTGGCCTCTGCGCATTGCTGGAGCGCACCGCCCTCAGGAAGGCGCCGGAAGCCCCTGGCTGGGCTCCGTGCACAGCACCAACCGAACCCCTGTCTTCAAGCTCCCGCTTGATGATGCCCCTCCAGCTCCCTGAATGCGCCAGAGCTTCCCGAGGTTGGGGACTGGGTCTCACTCCCTTCCACGTCACCCGCAGCCGGCATAAGCCCTGCGGAGCGCTGGCCGTCACCGCGCACGTGAAGGCGAGGAGGAATGAGTGAGGAAAACAAAGCCACAGGCTTCACGCAGAGCCCATCAAGTGAAGCGGAGCCCCTCATCCGCCCAAGGACAGCCGCGGGCCACCAAATCAGGTTTCCCGGTGCAGACTTCGGACCCTTCTTCGCTCCACCCCCACACTCCGCTGCTCCAGTGTGGCTGGTCCTGGGGAGGCACACGGAACCCAGGCGAACGTCACCCTTACTTGTCCCTGTGAAACGGTGTTCTAAGGTAGACTGTCGGGGCTGTCCGGGTGTCTGTCGCATTCCTTCCACGACCGCTGGGTTAAATCGTCCCCGATACACACACAGGCCTCCGGACTGACGCATCTCCCGCCCTCTGTGATCAAGGCTGCAGGCGTGCGTCCACATTCAGGGTGCTGGGGGCTCGGCGCGGGGCCGGGTTCTCGAGGGTGGACGGGTGCTGTGTGGCCCTGACTTCCTTCAGGACACTTCGGCACAGGTCTCGAGCTGTACCGGGTGGGCTGTTGGCATGCGCAGACTGGGAGTGGGCAGGACTCCACACTGGGCTACCCAGGGTTCAAGGCCACCTTGCACAGGCCACCTTCCCCTCTGCGCCACTTCCCCCACGTCTCCACTCGTATTTCTTGCCTTTCCTAAACAAGCTGTGCTTCCGGAAGCTTGTCCTGAGCTCTGCTTACTGCTGAGCACACGGAAACCCACCACCAATGAAAGCTATTGTCCAGAGCTGATAGGGACTCAGCAGTCATTGAGTCCAGGGTCATCTGGCAACAAGGGGCATTGTGGATGCGTTGTAAGTTCCTCCACCAAGCTCCCAGCACCCTGAGATCATGACAGTCAGCGATGCAACACAGACTCCTGTGACGGGGACACCGGCCACCAGGCTGGGCCCCACCATTGCTCAGTAACCAGAAGCCTTTGCGACTCGGGATAAACCTGGAGTGGCTCCACCTAGGCCTGGTTTTCCCCTTGAACGTTAAGTCCCTGTGGGCGTCAGGGGACATTGAACCTGCCTGTTTTTCATTCATTTACACTTCAAGACATTGTCAGAAACGAGACACGTGAAATGAGAAATGAAAGCTCTCAGTCCCAGAGCCCTCTAAGCCTTTTTCCTTAGAAGCGGGACGGTCGATCCAGCCAACACCGAGTCGTTGAACGCATGCAGAGAGGCTCCCCTGGAAGCTGCATGGATGCCTCTCGGGCCAACCTAGGCACACAGCTCAGACCAGGAGGGGTGAGCGGGCCCCGAGCTGCCCTCCTCCCTGCGGCTGCTCACGCAGCTCCCGGCTCGTCCCTGCGGCCACACCTGGCCCAGCTCTACTGCCCCGTTCGTCCCTTCCTCCCACCTCCCACCTGGGACATCACTCATGTCCTCGGGCTGCCCGGTACCCCCACGGCAGGATGCCCTTGTTGCAGTCTTGACCACGCCCCCATGTGCACACTCACACACAGGACAGGAAGTAACCCCCAAACTCCAGAAGCCCTCCGGGGGTCGGCGCCTCCTGGGGAGGCCAGACGCGGGCACGTCCTCCCCATCTCGGGCACGCACCAAACACATGCGCCGTGTCAGGCGATCCACGGCGGATTTACTGCCTGCGACTGTGCCGTACGTCTTCCGTCAAGGGCCTGTCTTCGCCCCGGGCTGCCTCTCGGAGGAACGGATACCACCTGTTCAGGATCCGCCGCGAAAATGAGCTGCCTGACCTTGCGCGTCCCCAGAAGAAACCAAGTGCCGTGGGACGCACTCGCCCGTACTCTGGGTTCTTCGTGCCAGGTTTTGTGCGCGACGGTGCAAATCCAAACACTAACAAGACGAGGTCCAGGTACAAAATACAACAAAAACACCAACGGGTTTTTACAAAGGTGATGTTGGACACTCTGTGAGTCCTTCACGTATGTCACAGGCCAGTGCCCGGACAGAGACGCAGCTAAGAACGTCACCTGGGAGCCAGACCGCCTGCTGCCAGACCCCAGCCCGTCTACTGACAAGCTCGGGGACCTTGGGGGACCTCCCTCCCGTGTGCCTCGTTTCTTCAGCTGTAAATCAGGGACAGTGGCAATCACAGCACGTCCTCCAAGCGCTGTGCTGGGGATCTGGGAGTTGAGAAAGGAGAGCCCTGAGGGCGGTGCCTGGCTCACGGTGAACAGGATGTGAGAGCTGCTGTCCTTATTGCTATGTCGTCATCATCATCGTCTCCCTGCATCGTCGCACGACGCTGTGAGATGCGGACTGCCACTGCCCCATTTTTATGGGCGAGCAATGGAGCCCCATGAACCGCTCAAGGTCAAGGTTGCATGCTGGTGTCCAAAGCTAGTGCTCCAGAGCCCAGGCAGGCGCCCTGCTGGGCTGGTGAGGGACACAGACAGGCCAGGCCCAACCTCACCGCACTGGCCACTGCCCTCCCCGACACAGTGACGTGCGGAGCAGGCGGGAAGCTGACTCTGCCACCCACTGGAGAATGTGCTCACACTGAAGAAGGACGAGAGGCCGGGACGAGAGCGGGGCCAGGCCGCCCCAAGCCCCGTCCGGACCAGCCATCGGCCCCCAGGTACGCAGGTGAGCCAGGCCGAGGTCAGCAGCGCCGCCCGGCTGAGGCGCCTCCCTCCGGCCAACCGGCGGCCTGGAGAGCCCCCTCGGTGCCCCTGTGCGATGCTGCTGAGACGCCGTGGGCGTGTTCCCGCAGCGTCCGCGGCACGGCTTCTCTGTGCAAGTACAAACTGCTCAGGGCGTGGGGGGTGCTCCCAGGAGAGCAGCAGACCACCCTGCTGGAGAGAAAAACCGCTCTGAAGGGCCACGGGCAGAAGGCGGGGACTTACTCGTGAACTCCTGGCCTCCCAGACGCAACGTCACCTGGCGGCTCCCCTGGTCGTATGTCACACCAGGACATGTGGCATTCGCCCTGGCCTCGGAGGGGTCCCTCCAGTCTTTGATGTTGCAAAGCAGGACGTCGGGGGAGCTCAGCAGCCCACAGATGATGGGACCTGCAGGGTCACGAGAGGGAGGGGCGGTTGATGTGATGGGAACAAGCAGAGTGCCGGCAGAGACTGACCTCAGTGCCCCTGTAGGCTGGGGACAGGAGACACCTTCTTGGGAGTGGACAGGGACCCTGGGGCTCGGGAGCCTGGTTTTAAACTGGGTTGTTCTTCCCCAAGAGTTAGTTGTGCTGCTGTCTCGCTGGCAAATTCCCAAAGGAAGGGCAGCCGCCACGCCTGCTGACCCTTCTCTCCCTCATCAGAGCCCTCCTTCAGGGGCCGCAGTGACGACCGTGTCTCGTGTGCCACCGGGCGTGTTTCTGCCGGGGCCTGCTGTCCCCGTTTCCCACCCCCACCCGACAGCGATCTTCCCGAGCCGTCAAGGAGCCAAATGGCAGCTTCTCCCTCTCTCTCCCTCCCCCCACACCCTGCCTCACACAGATACACGGAGGAAATCATCCTCAAAGGGACTCAGAAAGGAGTATTTAGATTCACAGTCAGGAACTATCCCAAACGCAGAGCTGTGTGCACCATTAGCACAAGCTCCCCTGGTGGGGAGCGAGCTCCTTGTCCCTGGAGGCATCCAAGCAGGGCCCGTGCGCCCACCTGCCTCAGACGTATACAGAGAATCCACAACAAGGGGAAGCACTGGACCATTTTCTCTTGAATGTGTCTTCTCATTTTGCATTTTCAAAACCCGCCCTAAGAGGATGACTTTGTCTGGTACCAGGACGACCGTCCCCCGGTCTGGCTGAATCTCAGAGCGACTTCAGCTACATCTCGGCTGTGTGCCAGTTGCTACGTACGTGCTTTAAACGTACTAACCCCCTTAATCCTCACTGACGCTATTATTTCCATTTTTCCTGATGGAAGAACTGTGTCTCGTGTTAAGTTCATGGCCCAAATTTACATAGACCTAGAAATTAAATAATGTCTACATCTATTCAGATGCATCATCTTCTTAGGTGATTCAGTGGTCCAGATTCTCCTAGAGAAAAACACCTACCACCCCACAAGCCCTAGCCCCTTCCTCTCCTGGTCTACGTCCAGGTCCAGACGCAGCCTCAAACCCGGCTCGCGCCAAAATGCGCCCAGAGCAGAAGACGCAGCGCACCTGGCTGGTGGACTGGGCGGGGGTCTGCCACCTCCCTCCTGCCGCCTGTAGAAAGACCGGCGCCCCTGCGGTCTTCTAAAACTCACCAGCAGCAGCTTTTCTGCGTAAGAAATCTGCCTCAGAGCTCCTCTAACGTGGTGGTTCTCCAGCCAGGGCACTTAGACTGATACATGAAGAATGCTGGGAGAGTTTTAGAAATGCTCGTTCTCTGGCCCCAACCCCGGAGTTCCTGATATGTCGTGGTGGAGGTGGCGGGGGGGGGCCCTGGGGAACTGGTGTTTGTAAATGGCACCACAGATACAGATGGCTCTAGAGGCACCGCACTACGGCACCACACAGACAGATGCCAGACCCCCTGACCTGGAGGGACCACTTCTCAGATGGGGAAACGGAGGCAGGACAGGGAGGGTGATCTGGCCGGTGACGAGGACGGGAATGGCCGGCCAGCAGTGGTGTGCCCGCCAGGTGCAGGCAGCGGGCAGTCAGAGCCTTCTGCTGAGGGCCCAAAGGACGTCTGAGTGCCAGGCCAGCCCCTGTCCCCAGCCAAAAAACGCATGGAGTCAAACAAGTGGCGGGTGTATTGTCCCTCTGCGCCCAGACTGCGGGAGAGAAGCCCACGCAGCCTTCTTCTCTGGGTGCGAGAGTGTCGGTGAGAACCCCACGTGTCTGAGAGGCGGGGCCAGCTGGACAGCAGGAGCTCCTCTGCTGGTCACATGCTCATGGCCCATGACCCTGGGGCCACGGGAGTCCCTCTGAATCCCACTTCCAAGTAGTCTTGACTGAAACACAGGTCTGGAAGCATCGTGAATGTTCTGGAATAACTATCAGTAGAAATTCAGCCATTGAGGGGTTGGAGGTAGGACGGGCTTGGACGTGGGAAGAGGCTGGAGGGATCGGAGGGGAGAGGGGGAAAGGGGGAGAGGGGGAGTCCACCCGAAAGTTAAACGGCTCCCCAGACGGCAGGGAAAGGAGGGAACGGGAGTCTGCCCCCGGTCATCAGCGGGGCCAGCCAGAGCTTTCTAGTTAGAACGACAAACCCGCCCACTGGACGAGACTGGGAAGAACATCTGTCTGATGCTTTATGTCTGTCTCGAAGGGAGCTTAGCTCGCAGCTCACAGCACGCAGCACGGCGAGGCGGCCGCTCCGCTCCCAGAACCCACAGATCACCGCTGACGCTTGCCGGGAAAAGCGATCAGGCCGCCCGCCAGAAGCGGTGTGGAAAGAAGGGTTTTGTGGGCGCACTGCTCCGTGGAACAAAGTAACTCTTCCATACATGATCCGAAGGAAAATGAGGTCAGCCTTTCCACCTTGAGAAATCCTACGGTCTGGTGAGTCATCCGGCCTCGGCGGGGGGGGACTGGTGTCTCCGCAGGAGAGACATTTAGCTCGAAGGAGGCGGAAGGCTCCCTGGCTTTGAAGTGCGGTGTCTCCAAATACATGTGCACATAAAGACATGTGTGTACATGCGTGCATGCTATACACACGTGTGAGTGTGCGTGTGTGTGCACGCATCCATCGTCTATCTGTCCTGTGCTTATCTGAATCCCAGCACGATGCACTCGTACAGTCCCAGGGCACTAAACCTACACGGAGCGTGAGGATGCCCCTCGCCCCAGGCCAGCTTCCCACCCTACCGCACCAACACGACACCCTTGTTTCGGCCCCCACTGACTGCTGTGGGCTGAACTCCGCACTTCTCAGTCACCCCCTCGGGGCCGGGGGCAGACGGCTATTTCATCCCGCCAGAAGGTACGACCCACCGGGGACATGCACAGGTGAGCGTGGGCACCCACCGGGGACATGCACAGGTGAGCTCAGGCACGAAGAGAAGAGCCTGAACGCTGTTTCGGGAGGAGCCGTCGTACAGACTGGTATCAAGGGCGGGGCATTGAGCAGTGGGCTCGGGAGCAATTAAGACAGTCACACAATTGGCAGAAATAATTAATAATAATAACAACACAGCCCAGATTCCAGACAGCAGGAGCAGGGATGCACTTAATCTCCGTCCCCAGCGCAGTAAGAAAGCAGCAGCAAGAAACGGGAGTGATGAATCAGCGCGGGGGAAGGACGCGTGGAGAGGGATTCCTCACGACTCCCAGATTCTCGGCCGGCGTGCTCTCCCCCGAGACGGGGTTTGTCACAGAAGCAGGGCATTTAGGGTAGAAGCTATCTGTCCCTGCAGAGGCGTGTTGACTTCGAGACGCTGGCAGGACACCCACGGTGGCTGCGCAGACAGCAGATGAGTGTGGGCCCCTGGACCTCTGCAGAGACCCAGGAGGGGTGGGGGCAGAGCCGGCTGATGGTCACGCTCAAAGGAACATGCTCAAGACGCTGCCTGAGACGGAGGGCACTGAGTAAGAGAAGGGTGTCGGGAAAGTAGGAGGGGCGAGTTTGAGGAGCTGGGAAGTGGTCGGCAGTGTCAGCAGCTAGAGACAGCCGGGCCGGGGAGAATGGGGAGACAGAGTTGCAACCGGGGAGGAGCTGCGGTAGAAAGGGAGAGAAACAGAACCAGAGTTGGGGGGAAGACCCAAGGTCAAGAGCTCTGTATTGCTGTGCTCATTTCGGCTTTTAAGGAGGCCGAGAGTCTAAGAACCCTGGGCATGCAGCATGGGGGCTGGTGGGGGGCGGGTGGCTGAGGACAGACAGGGTGGGGAGCAGGACTGACGGAGCAGACGGGCTCTCTGGCGCCCACAAAGCAGGTTTGCTCTCTCAGGGGGGATGCTCTGCAGACGCTGGACAGGTGCTGGATTCATCACAGGTGCTACAGAAGGTAGGTGCTCTGCGAATGTTTTCTTACTGAGAAGCCCAACGTCACGGTTAACATTCTCCCGAACACACAGAGTCTCCCTGCCTCTATCTCAGCTCACACGAAGGCCTACCTGGACCAGACTGTCTCTCTTCTCTCGCCATCTAAGCACTACCCAACCCACAAAAAATATCCCACGTGCCTCCTCTTCCAGGAAGCTTTCCCTGACTACCAAGTCCCATTGGAATCTCCCTCCTCTGCACCCCAAGGCTCTCATGGTCTTGACACTCCTGCTGCCTCATCGATCCAGCCTGGTGCGCAGCAGTGCCCAGCGCATGCTCCCTGATGGCGGCACAAAGGGATGAGGGGAGGTCACGGTCCTTTCACGGCACCCCTGCCTCCCCAACCAGGCTCTAAGCTCCTCCTTTTGTCTATTTCCAACCCCGAGCACACTGGACTTCACATATATGATGGTCACCGGAAGTGAGGTCATGGGAAGACACATAAGGCTACTTCAAACTGGTTCTAACCTTCAGAATTCTCCATAAGCTGAATGCAACAGCCCCATAGGTGGTGTAGCTGAGTCCCTCTGTTACTAAACCCATAGCATACAAGGGGCCAGACCCACTATGGGGCCCATTGTCTTTGTAACAATAGTCCAGCAAGAACGATCATTATCTATATTATCATCGGTATTTCATGGGCAAGTGAACTGTAACTTAGTTGAGCCCAGCCAGAAGGTGACAGGGTGGCAACCGACAGCCGGGTTTGGCCGACTCCAAAGTGCCTTCTCTACCACTAGTGCGCACAGCCAGGAACATGGATTTATTCCTACAAACAGAAGTCCATCCCCACTGCTGAGGGGTGGCAGAAAGTCCCAGCCCCAGGGATCACAGCACCCGGCATTCCGCAGGCACTCAGCAGACAGTCACTGGATGAGCGACCCTGGGTGCCGGGAATGACTAACACTTTTTGACCTGTGCGGCCAGTCCAGGCTCCGGAGCTGGTAGTGAGGGGCTGTCGAAGATGCACCTGGGCTCAGATCTCGGCTCTGCCGCTTGGCAAGCCCCACGTCTAGGAGCAGATGGTGCAAATTCTCTGAGCCTCAGCTGCTCAGTTTGTAAAATGGAACTCGTACTACCTCCTCTGAAGACAGCAATAAGAAAACACAACCCAGTATTACAACGTAAAGGGGCCAGCAAGGCATGCGCCACGGTGAGAGAGGCACCGCGTGTCCCTGACGCTGCGTACGTGAACACCCCCTCCTACACAGATGCGGTCACCTCGTGCCCACGGAGTCTCCCTGTTGTACGTCCCGGCTTCTGTGACCCCACGTTCCCCATCCTTCGTCATCTGCGTTACCTCCGCGGACTTGCGTGAGGATGAAGCCGTCGCAGCACGCGTCACGGTCACAGGCAAGACGGCAGAAGAGATGAACCTGCGTCAGACTGGTCCCCGAGGCTGCGAACATGGTGGGGCTGTACATGCCGGAGAGCGCGTTCTGGAAACCAGTCGGTTCGAAGACTTTCTGACTCCTTGTGGTGAATTCTTGGCCTGGGGAAAAGGCAGAAAAAAAATTTTTTTTAAGATCTTAAAACAATGCAGGGTTCTCTGTGCCACGAAACTGGGGGACATGTCTGTGCAGGGGGAGCGTGGAGTCAGCAGCCAGGACAAACGCCCACGACCCCTCGGGGGTCTAAAGGGGACGGGTGGAGAGCTGGCATTTGTTCCCATCTGCAGGATGACCAGCCGGTACTGAGCTCCAACTGTACCCACAGACGCCACGCCACGCGCCTCACCCGTAGGGCCGCATCACCTTCTCCGCCCTGAGAGTTATGTTCAACCTGCTCTGTGAACCGTGCGTTTCAGTAACGCAGCTTCTCAGACGCCTGCAGGGCAGGAAGCCGAGCCCCTGGATGCTGAAGTCACGAGGAGTCCCCAGCATGTCACTGCCTCGTGCCCACAACCCACAGGGGAACACAGAGCAGCGAATGCAGAGAAATGGGCCGGGACACGGTGCGCCTCATCCTGCGTTCGCCCTCTCACCCCAGACTGGCCGCTGGCTCTGTCTCCAGTGTGACAACTGTGGTTTCCCCCTTTCTTTGTGCCTCTGGCCCTCGGCTCCAAAACTCAGGTGTCCCTGCCCTTCCCTGCACCTGCCCCCACCAAGCTAGCTACCTGCCTTCACGCTTCCTGAGATGCATTCAGTGTGTCTCTTTTTAAACTGCAGATTTCTCACTTTAAATGGAACCGTTACTGTTTTTTCAGGCCTCCAGTTACACATGTCACGGCTTAGGTCCTGCCTGTCTCTGTCCCAACACTACGTCTCCAGTTAGCCCTGTCATTTTTAGGGCATCACTTTGCCAATGTGAGATGATACGTCACACTCTAGCCAAAATGTCTGTCCTACTATTACGTCCTTTGTGCGTCTGAGGGAAGGGAGCCTCCCCCGGCTAACGGTGTTGCCTCGGTCCACACAGCAGGTGGGCGGCAGAGAGAATGCCGGAGCCTGGGCTCGTCACCACCCCGGCCTCCCTCCACCAGCATTCACCGTTCTGAACTGCCTCATGCACCTGGAGCCGGCACAGAGCGTACAGAACGAGGCCCAAGCGCACAAGCTGCGGAACGAGGCAGACCGGAGTGGGAACTCCTACAGCACCCCAGGCTAGCAAGTTCCTAGCTCCTGAGAGCCTCAGCTTACCCATCTGCACAATGGGGGTGACCACATGTAACCCTCATGGATGTTGAGTGGATGAAAAGATAGGCTTCTATAAAAGGCTGAGCCACGAGCCCGGCCCTCAGTGGATGCTCAGCAGCTACCTTGCAGGCCTCCAGAGGGCGGGTGTCTCCTCCCTGCATGGCCCGGCTCACTCCTCCCTGCTCCCTGACTAGCCAGCAAAGCCCCTGCTCATCCTTTACCAAAGCCCAGCTACGCCTAAAGGGTCCCCCGCTTTAAGCCTTGCCCTGAGGTCCTCGTTGCATCTGACGCCCCCTCTTTGTGGACCTGCTCCGTGAATGAGGGGACGGGGCTACGCAGTCTCCACGGAGCCTTCCAGCACTGTCTTCTTCTGACTCCGGAAGATCTCATGGCCACTCCTCCACGGCCAAGGCTGCAGACTTGAAGAGCGTGCAGACAGAGGATGGTCTGATTCCAAACGCCAGGTCAAGCTGTCTTGCCCTCTAGGTCAGTGGCCCCCAGCCTTTCCGGCACCAGGCACCAGTTTAGTGGAGGACAATTTTTCCACAGACCAGGGTTGGGGCAGGGGGGTTGGTTCCGGGATGACTCAAGCGCATCCCATCCAGGCCCACCGCCTGCTGTGCGGCCCAGTTCCCAGCAGCCTGCGCCGGTACCGGCCCACGGCCTGGGGGTTGGGGGCCACATGAGCTCAGGCCTGTGAACGAATGTGCGTGTCCACCCACCCAGCTGCCACAGGCTGTGCTGGGGGCATGCAGGAAACATGTCCTTTCCCCCTCTGCTGTGACATTTTGTATTCCCGCTGCACAGAAAGACGGATTTAAAAAGTCACCCCTGATCGGAGCGGGTGTCTGACCCCAGACGCCGTCCACTCCGACCCCCCGTCTCTTCCCGCTCCCCTGGGGGCCCGGATGCCTGGGCCTCCATGTTTTAAAAATAGGAAAATAGAAAATTTTCTGCTTAAAAAACAGAAAATTTTTTAAAAGCCCAGAAGACAAAAATAAAAAGGAACAAACAAAAAACAGTCCTGCCCTTGATTAGTTTGGCAGCAAGGAAGCTTCCCAGTTTCCTCTGCAATTTCCCCCACAGCATAAACATTCAGGGGAGGAGGAGGAGGGGGAAATAGCAAACACTTAAAAAGAAATATAATTGCATTTTTTAAAAAATGTGATAAATGACCAAGGTATCGTTTGAAAAAGGAAATCGAGAGGGGCTGCTCACTGCATCTGTTTTCCTTGTTGGAACGTCGTCTCTCTGCTCCGCTGCCTTTGAAGGGCAAGAGGCCCCGGGCAGGAGCCCCAGGGCCCCGGCTGCAGGTCGGAGAGCCTGCGCTCCGCCGGACTCGCGGGCCTGGGGAGCCGCCTCCCACACAGCACAGGGGCGGTGGGTGGGAGGAGGACCAGAGACAGAAACACAAACGCTCGTCCCTGCCGGGGACTGAGGTCAGACGAGGCTGCGGGCTGGGCGGCGGCACTGTCCCACTTGCTGCAAGCTGTTTGCGGCTCCAGTCTGCAGCAGCTGGGAGCCAGGCCTCCTGCCCTGAGTTACAGACCTGAGAGAATGCCATCCTGCCACCTCTCCTCTCAGCCCCCAAGGCCCTGTCCAGACCCCCTGGGTTGTCTTCTGGTCCCCAGCCTCAGCCCTGGGTCATGGGGAAACTTCCCAGCAAACATGAAAACACATGTAGAAATCGCCTGCACCTGCTATTTCCACGTGCCAAACACTGTCCCGAAAGCCTCACATGGGTCATCCTCTCATGACTAGTGACACCCTATCCTACTGGAGAGGAAACACGACAGCCTAGAAAGTCCGGGAACGTGGGCCCAGATCTCGGGGCACACGGCTGGTGCGTGGCAGAGCTGGGACAACCCGGGCAGGCAGCTCCAGCATCCTCACCTGGCCATGTGAAGGGCGGCCGGGGGTACAGGGACTGGGGGCGGCTTCACAGCTCGCAGGGCAGCGCCAGCTGTGGCCCAGGGCGCAGGCCCCTGCATCGCAGGCACTCTCCCGGCCTGACCCACAGGAGGCCGGAGGCCAGCAGGCCTGGGCACGGGCTGCGGGGTTCCAGGAGATGCTCGCTGCATCTCCGCCACGGGCTCCGGCACCGGAAGTGTTTCCCTGCCCGCCGCTCCGTGAGCTGCACTGGGGTGTGGGGGGCGGTCTGGCTCCTCCTGCACGTGCCTGCTGGGAGGCGGCTCCTAACGTCAGCCGGGCCAAGCTACCGAGCCCAGAGCCGCCATCCCGCCCACTTACCCTTCTTCAGATACACAGCCAGCGTGTCCCGGTCCCGGCTCCTCACCGTCACCCGGCAGCGGAGACTGCCAAAGCCCACGGCCTGCGAGTTCCCCAGTGCGTCTTCTTGCTGGAGATGCGAAGAGGCTGCGTTACCACACCCCGTGAGAGCTAATCCAGCAAACGTGTATAGGCCCTAACCAGGGCGAGGCCCTGGGCTGACGAAGATACAGAGGAAAGACCCCTCCTCAGGATTCCCCCCCCCCCCCGCCCCGGTCTACTGGAGCACACGGACAGTGAGCTGGCCACTGCAGCCCCAAGTCCCCAGTGTCAGCTGCAAAGACACACGCCCCTCGAGAGAGGGTGATGACAGAGGCGGGACAGACACATTCTGTCGAGAACGGGGAGCTAGGAGAGGGCTGACACGTAGCGGCCCGCCCCCGCCTGTGTGCCTCCGGGATGTCGCGCACAAAAACACACTCACACGTGAGCACGGGTGCAGCATAAAGCGCATGCAGGGTGCTCCTGCTGCTGATGTTGCACAACGGCTAACCAGCGCCCTTCACGGATGTAAGCCGAGTTATGTACGTCCACGGAAGGGACTGGTATGTGCCGTTAAAAAGAGCAAGGTTAATTATTAAGATACAGGAGAGAAAAATACACATGGTACAGTGTTAGCATATACAGAAACAAAAAAAAAGGATGCTTATAATGCACAAAAATTTCCTGAACGGACCCAGAAGGAGCTGGGGAGCAAAATGCAGGTTGGCGTGGGTCGAGGGCCCAGAGGGTTTGGAGACGGGAGCGTGCGTGGCTTTGCTGCAGGCCCGCCTGCCCTGATTCTCCGAAACGGTGGAACTGCCGACGTCCTACCAGCTTCGACTCACAGGAGCAGCCGTCTCACGCGGCCCTAACTAAAATGTAGCTGTTTTCCGTGTGAGCCACAGCCACCCTTCCACGATGGAAGGAGTGCCTGCGGGGCCCGGGGCTCAGAGGGACCGAGGGCGCTCAGGGCTCTGACGGCGGCCGGTGGGAGCCGCCCAGGGTGCCCCGTGAGTAGGCTGGTGGGAGCAGAAGGGGCCGCTTGTCCTTGACATTCCCTCCTGACCCCCGTGTCGGGAGGTGACACTGCTCAGGGGAGCACCCCTCATGTCCATGTCACCGTGAGCCGTCGCAGGTGTGCCGCTGATGTTCAACTTTCCAGAGTCTCAGCGCTTTCAAGAAACGGAGGTAACACGGGGTCGGCTATGGACGGTCTCACTCCTTTGCCTGCTCGGCCTGGTGTGGACTCGATCAGAGCACGTCCGACAGGCGCAGGGGAGACAGGCGTGCCACCTGGCGGCCACGACTCACCTGACCGGAAGCCGTGCAGGCGATGTTGTTACTCGTCCAAGCGTAGAAGTCACACGAGACGTCTGGGCCCACCGTGGACACCGTGAGGAAGCCGCAGGACTCATCCGAGGCGCAGTCTGCAAGCACCAGGGACTGTCACCCGTCTGTCCCCCACCCCGGCGATGCTGAGGAGAGATGGACACATACCCCCACAGCCTGCCCCCGATATACCCCTCCCCACACACACACACACACTCGCCTGCAACACGGGACGACAGTGACTGCCCGTGGCTGACTGCGGGGTTATGAAACACCCCGTACACAGACACGGGCTCCGCCAGTCAACGGCAGCTGTCGCTGCCCCTCTCTGGCCTCACTGTCACAACAGGCAGACGGCGCGCCCGGCTCCGACACGTGGCTCCACGAGGAACCAGCGCCGCGCATTCCGCTCCCGCGTCTGTGGTGGCACATTGTCCCCGGCCCGCAGGGGACGCACCATAAACCCTGACGTGAAACTCTGAGTTAAGTGCACCTCTGGGGGATCAGCTGATGGCAAAGTGCTTGGATAAAGTGTATTTTTCGTGACAGCTTCAGTGGTTTGTTCGATTTGCCTTGCAGGCCGATCAGCAGAACATGTTTCAGTACCACCCCCGGGGGCCCGCCTCCCCACACCCCGTACCTGCCAAGCACCGCGCCAGCGGGGGTTCGGAACCCGGAACCTCGGACCTGACTCCCATGGCCGCGTCGGCACTGACCACCACCTCAGAGCCTGGAGCCTGCTCAAATCTCCGCATCGCTGGAAGATAACGTGAGACTCGTGAACTCGGACGCCGGGGCCTTGGAGCCAAAACCAGTGCCTGGTCAAGAAGTCGCCTTCCCGTCACGGCCCTTGGTCACCCAGACGTCCCGTGGGGAGACTCCCTTCTCAGTTCGGCCCAGCACGCTGCCCACTGTGTGGCAATGAGAGCTGTGACTTCTGTCTCCACTTTTCTATCTCACTGGCAGGAAGTAAGGAGAAAGTTTCAGTATTACATTGGTCCTCACAACTCATCCTTGCTCGTGGGTAGTGATTTTCTATCTAAAGGGATATTTCCCCATCCTTATCTCTAGGCACCAATTATATCTTGTAATTTTTTTTTATGAAAATTTTCTTTTTAGCCCTGGCTGGTGTAGCTTAGTAGACTGAGTGCCGCATTGCCATCCTCTAACAGGGTGCGGAGGGGGCTGACGTGGAGACGCAAGCACTTCGGGGACGATCCCGCCATGGCCGGGAGTCCCCGGGCCTGTGGTCGTGGAGGACAGCAGAGACCTGCCAGCCTGCACCCTTAAACCCTTCCAGCTCTCACTCCCCCAGCTGCTGTGTCTGCCCAAGAGCAGGAGTGATGGAAAAAACTGATGACTTCCACTGGGTTTGCAAATCTGCCCATCGGGACAGATATGCACAGATCCTTGGGATTCTGCGGTGCTTTGCTATTGGAGAGAAATGACGGGTCGGGGCATTAGGAGATGAGCTGTTCTCACTTGCGTTTTCAGGTGTTTTATGTGATCAGCGGCACCAGCTTCCCTAGAGGGCAGTCTGGCCACGAGCGCGAGTGTGCGTGTGTTGTGTGTGTGCAAGTGTGCACGCGAGTGTGCGTGTGTTGTGTGTGTGCAAGTGTGCACGTGCAAGTCTGTCCAGTAAGGAAACAGATAAATCCAGGCAGGAGCGGATCTTGCAACTAGAAGGAATGGGTTTAAGGGCCAGACACGCACCTGTTCAAAAGTCACTGAAACACTCTCTGCCTCGCCTTCCTCAACTAAACGATGGGGGGTGACGACATCTGCCCCTTGCCCCCTCGCCCCCTCGCCCTGTGACGTTTCCACGTGACGGCCTGGAGAGACCGCCTGGCACGGGCCTGGCACCCCGTGAGCCCGTGCGCGTGCCCCCTCTCCTCCCACAGACAGCTGAGCGGCGCCGGCAGCCGGGGCTTGCTCTCGGGCGTGCAAAGGCGAGCCACGGCCTTCGAGCAGCGGAAGGCGACTCCGCAAAGGTGGAGCGGAGCTCTGAAGACGGGAGGGTGGAATGGAAGGCCCTCGCAGACTGCCTCAGCCCGCTCCCTGGTCAGCAGCTGAGGAGACAAGGCAACCGGTACCGAGACTGCTGGGCGTTCTGAGATACACATTACCTGTTAGGCACGCCATTGCTAACGCACTCAGCTCCCCGACAGGATCCCCACTAACAGGCGAGGAAACTGCTAAAGGCAAGTGACGTGCCCGAGACTACTCGGCCGGCAGAGGGCGCCACTGGGATAACACTAGTTCTGCCCCTGCTCCCACCACTCCGCGTGCTGGAGCGGGTTTGGCCCGCTCAGCGTCTCAGGAGGCCACGGCGGGGCCTGTGGACCAGAGAAGTGGAGCAGCCTGCTCTGGGCGGCCCAGCAAGTAACTTATGGAGCCAGGCCTGGCCTGGCCCTCCTGTCTTTCCACGACACCCCACCGAAGGAAAACATGCTGACCAGCTTTCTGGGGGCAAGCTGCCCACAAAAAAAGGAAGCCTCAGAAGATTAGTTTTTTAGATTCTTTTCTCATGCATTCACAGGTATTTGTTTGGGGGGGGGAGTTTTATGACGTCTAATACTTACTTTCCAATGATTAAGAGAAACAGAGAACAAAAGAGCAAAATACGAATGATTGCTGGGTCTAGGTGATAGGTATTTGTTCATCCCACTACTCTTCTTCCAACTTCTACATAGACTAACATTTTTTACATGAAAGTTGGAGACAGATGCCTCCCGCCTGTCGGTCCCCTCCCGGGAGGCCCCGGAGAGCGCCCCCCTGCCCCGGCAACGCGGCTGGTCCCAGGGCCGCACATACTCAGACACTGGGCGTCCGTGAGCGGGGCCTCTGTTTCCGACCACGGCAGCCTCCGCCCCTCGTCGTCCACACAGAAGGCCTTGCCCCGGTCCCTGTCCCTCTGGCTGGCTCGGTACTGGCCGTCCTGGTCACACTGCAGGCCCATCTCGTTCCTCTGACAGTCCGTGACACCTGGAACCAAGACACGGACCCAGCAGTCAACGATTGGTGACAGGCCTCTGGGGTCCCGCCCCTCAGCCTCCCGGGCGCCCAATCGCTGGTCAGACGTGCAAGTCACAGGTCTGAGCTGGACACTCTCTGGCTTAAAACTCATCGGTGACTCTACCCTGACCATGTGTGACATCCATGACACTACAGTGTATTGAAGTACGGAAATGTTTTCTTTTTTTCCATCACACACTTAACATCTCGAGGACAGGGAAGGAATCTCTACTTGTGTTGCTTTTCCAGGACGTACTTGGCAGGAGGCAAGCATGTGACTGTTCAGAAGGGAAGGCCTGGACGGACGGGTCCCCCAGGACCCTTGCTGGGAGGTAGGTGGAAGACACCCTTCCACGGCAGCCCAGAGACTTGGCTCACACCCAGTTCTCTCCCTCTCAACTCAGTTAGCCATGTGGCTAACCACTGACTGACGACAACGTGTTTTGCCAAGAGATACAAAGGGTCCTTTTTAAATAACATGCTTTATATGCCATTCATGCTATACATGAATTCACTTATCACCCAATCAATAGCTACTTGGTTGTAAACAGAACCCCAGAAATCACCCAGTGGACCTGCAAGGTTAGAAAACAGGAGAAAAATGTTTTTAAGTGAGAATTGTAATATAGACCTTACCCGTGTAGAGAAACTGAAATCCTAAAAGCTATCCCAACACAAGAGGAAGCCCGTGGAACAGAATCTCCTGGCATCATTTAAAACTGGGCGGCCTCTCCTGCCCTGTGCTTCTCTCTAACATGATTCCACCTAAGAACACAGACCGGGTCCTGCAGCAGGCAGATGGGCAGAGCTAACGAGTCCCGGAGAGTTCTGAGGTGTGAACACACCCTCAGTATAGGCCCCGCCCCCGGCCCTGGGGACCCATTGCTGAAATCTCGTCTGTGAGTCGAGACCTCTGGGAGTGTAATCACGTGACGGCCCTCCCCTGCTGCGTGGAATCCTGCCAGAGCTCGTCCCCACAGTGGGATGGGGGCGAGTGCTCACTGTTTGTCGTAAACACATCAAAGGATTCCACTTCGCTGTGGGCAGAATGTTTGTCTCCTCTAGTTCATGGGGTGAAGCCATTAACCATAGTATGATGGTATTTGGAGATGAGAGGCGATGAGGGTTGGGTGAGGTCATCGAGGTGGAATCCCCATGACGGAGTTGGCACCCCAACAGAAGGGGAAGACCCGGGAGGCCCCTCACTCTGCACACATGCACCCCAAGAACGTCGCCGCACTGGCACGCAGGTCCGGGGCCTCCAGCCCCCAAAACTGTGAGCAATCAGCGTTGGTTGCTGAAGGCACTCAGCCCCTGGTAATGTGTGCACAGCAGCCTGAACTTGGCAATGGCATGTTTTATGACCACCCTATGATGTCGTAGCACTGGCCTTGTGTAACAAACGAAGAAGCTGACCTTCAGAGAAGGGAGCCGACTCTGTCTGCATGACAGCCCCAGGAAGGGGGTGGGCAGGGAGTGAGAGGGGCTGCCTGGGACCTCGTCTCGGCCCCTCCCTCTGGCCCCTGTCACGCGGGTGGCACCCCTCCATCGGCAAGGGTCAGTGTGACAGCCCCTCACGCCGCCCAAATCACAGAGGCCGGGGTCGCCGTGGACGCACAGGGTGCAGTGCCCCGATGTCAAGGGCAGGGCGCACCTGCTGAGGACTGTCTGTCCAGGAGGAAGGTCAGACTCCTGGCCCCAAACTCCTCTTGCTTTCTCAGAATTACCGCCCTACTTCCCTGCCCTCCTGACCAAGGAAACTGCCTTTATCAGAGAAGGTGACTTGATCTCTCTCAATTACTTTCAAATTCTAGGCGCTCTTCTGTTTTTAAGCAATAACACTTTTCCTCTTGTTGACACAATTTCAGGCTAACGTGAAAAAAAAAAAAAAAAACCACCATGCACAAGGCGAGTCACGAGTCCCGGGCAACGGGAAAAACCCAACAACGCCCAGGTGACTGTCACACAAGTAGGCCAGGAGAAGTCACGTGACATGCGGGAAGTCTGCGAGCACACACAGTCCCAAGGAGAGGACCGGGCGGCGAGGCCGGGAGGTGGAAACTGTCTTTCACTTTTCACTCTGACAAGGCCGGTGCGAAAACCAGAGGTTTCAGATGCCAAGACCGAAAGCCAGCCACGTCACCTACTAGCTGAGTGACTTGGGCTCAGTCGCTTCTCTGAGTCTTAACCTTCTGCTCTGGGAAAGGTCAGCTCTCGCTATTTCCCTGGGAGGGGAACGGGGACGACTAAGTGAGACAGCACCCGGGAAACACCCGGCCCGGCCTCCGGTGGGCACGTGGTTTTCCATGGTGGGCGATGCCGTTCCCGTGCGAGACACCGTGGCGATGCCTGGAGGCACGCCCGGCTGTCATCAGAACTTGGCGGGCAGAGGCGCGCCTCTGACATCTACCAGGTAAGTAAGGGCCAGTCACGCTGCCGAAAGCACACCCCACCCTAGAAGGGACAGCCCCCCCCCCCACAAATGAGGAATCATCGGCCCCAGATTCCAGTGGTGCCGAGGCGGAGGCCTCGCACCCCGGGGCCCCGGCGCACCGCGGGGCCTGTGTTTCCAGGCGGGGCCCCGCAGGACTCACAGTGGGTCTGACGGAAAGCTCCGGCGGCAACGGTCGTTCTGCCCCCGGGACACGGGGCGCAGGCCACGCTCCCTGCCCGCTCCTGGTAGAACCCCACAGGACAGGGCACACACTGCTCCTCCCACGAGTAGCTTCCTTCGGGGCACTTGGCTGGAAGAGATAAACAGGGAAATGACGTTACAGACGAGACACCTGCTTCACAGGGGACGCCTTGCCGCTCGCAGGACCTGCCCGCGGAACCCCCGGGTCGCACCAGACCTCGCCCCTCTCACACACCTGCGTGGAGGGCCCGCTGCGGGCCAGGCCCAGGGGCCAAGGCTGAGCTGCGGAGAAGGCAGACAGGGCCTTGCCCCGCAGGAGGGGACAGGCCAGTGGGATGGGAGGGGGTCAGGCAAGAATTCCAGAGACGGGCCAGATGAAGCAGGGAGGAAGGCATGCTGGTGAACGGGGGCCCTCTGACCGGTGGCGCCGGAGACGAATGACGAGAGGCACCCCGGGCAAAGGTCTCGGACGGAGAAGGGGCTTCTGGGCCAGCGCAAACATCCCGAGGTAGGCGTGGGTTCGGGTCACTCACAGAATGGGGAGGAAATAAGCCACGCAAAGCCAGGTGTGGAGGCAGAGCTTAGCAGACAAAGGGGAGAGGTGGCGCTGGAGAACACCGTGAAAGGTCAAGTGCAGCCGTGAGCGACCCCGGGAACATTTCCCGAAGTGAAGGGCACGGCGGAGCCCAGGGTGGGGGACAAGCGACTTCGGACTTGAGCCCCGTTCTCCCCAGACCGAAGCCTTCTTTTTCTCCGTCCACCAATGCAACCAACTCCCGTTGACCAGGCAGCCAGCACAGATGGGTGGGGCGAGCTGGGACGAAGCCGACGTTGACTCCACGACTCCAATGTGGACTCCGTCGCTCGCCCGCACGCGCACGCCCCGGCGCGGCTGAGTCAACCAGAAACTCGAGGCACGCCCTGGAAACTGAACGCCGTGCTTTCCCGCCTGCGCGGAGCCGTGAACAGCCTGGCGCAGGGACCGTGGTTTCGTTCCTCCTATGAGTCAGGCTGCTGATCACCTCTGCTGTTTTCACCCCAGCGCTGGGGCTGTGTTTTCAGGCGGTCTCCAAATTCCCAGCTGAAGGAAAACAGAACCTGCTCGGCCCGCCTGCGCCGCCTGCCTCCTGGTCCGAGGCGCGGGCGAAGGGGCTGCACGCTTGGCCAGTGGCAGGCCTGGGGGCGATGCGTGGGGGTGTGCATTCTGTTCCTCTGCATCGGGGACATCGACGGTCTCGTCCACCCAAGGGAGGCCTCGTGTAGAAGCCAGAACGAGGCAGTGGCTGCATTACCGTCGTCCTTCCCTCGGCAGGTGGGCCCTCTCAAAGACCCCCGAGTCCACGGCAACCACGGGGCCTTCGCCCTTCAGTTAAGCCCCTCCGTGACAGTCGCGGGAAGCCCCTAACGGCCTCCATTTGCTCCTCCATAAAATCAGACGCCGCAGCCTATTTGTGTTTGCGAGTTCCACAGAGCATCTGGCCACGCCAGGTCGGTCCCGTCGTCCTGCAACCGTGACAACCCACCTTCTGCTGCAGGAAGCGTCTGCGAGGAGCCATCACGGTTCTCCACCCCCCAGCCTGCCCCGCTCAACGCCATGCCTGGCGCCGCCACTTCCCGACTTAGAACTCGTCCACGGTGCCTCCCCACCAGTCCCAGCCCGTGGCTGCACCCCAAAGCCCCCCAACTCTGGTTCCTGCCTGTCGCTCTGGCCCCACGTCCTGCCCCGTTTCCCGCACACCCCATTCTCCAGCCACATAAGGCACATGTAGGGTCCCCATGAAGCCACACCGCTTCATGACTCCCTGCTCTTGCACGAATCTCCATTTCCGGGATGTCTTTAGCAGCCTCCACACACAGATGGGTGCGTGCACACACACAAGCACACACACACACACAAGCATGTGTACACACATGAAACATGTGCACGGACACATCCTTGCTAATCCGCTCTTGTCGAGCAGCAGCTGTAACTCACCCTCCAAGTTCACGCCAGCCTTTTCCCCCAGTGAGCCCTCCCTCCCCGGCCGCCAGCCTGGGGCGGACGGAGCTCTTTCACGGGACGTTCTCGCTCTTTCCATTTCCCTCTCTCCACCCAGACCGTCAGTTCCTTGAAAGCAGAGCTACGATTCTGCTTCCCTGAGAATGTAACATGGTGTTTGACATAGACTTACACGTTGAAAGCCTGGATGGATGGATGGATGGGTGAATGCACAGAAGGAAAAAAGAAGCAAAGGGTAGAGGGAAGGAAAGACGACATATTTCTGCAGAAAAATCCCATAGAGAACTAGCTCCACTGTAAGAACTTGTAGTGAATAAATAAAATCTAATGTTCTCCAGAATGGAAAACGGAAACCTAGATGATTTCTCTGGGATCCTCTTTAACGGGCCAGCCCAGCATGCCGGCTGCCAGCTGGGGATTCCAGGGAAACCGCAGGACTGGCCATGAGGCCACAGGGTGAACATAGCTGACCCACTGGAGCTGCAAACGAAGCCCCGAGCCCCCGCGGTCTCCGGTCCCTGGGTTAAGGCCACCAGGCCGACGGGAGTCGTGGAGGTGACTGTCCCCACCGCCCTCCGAGGGGATCACCCCGATGAGCCCCCCGAGGCAGTCACAGAGACCCGGCTCCATCTGCACAGGACAACGTTCTGCTTGTAGCCTCACGGCTGTGTTGCGGACGTTCTTCAGACGGAAAGAGAGCCAGTGAGAACAGAGGGAGGAATCGCGGTGCGATCTCACTACTCACCACCCCCGCTGTGGCTCCCACTCTCTCTGAAGCCCGCCACCCTGGGGCCCGCTCTGGTGAAATACATGCAGGTGTTCCCCCTCCAGGAAACAGTCTCAGCTGCCCCCCCCACCTCCCAGGTGAGCTGGGGGCCCATCCTGGCAGACAGGAACTAATAACCTAATAATCCAGTTCTGCAGAGGGAAACCTGGGATCAGAGCTTCGGTCTAGCTCCTTTATTGTACAGGACACGGGTCCCTACCTCCCACCCCTCTCCCCGCCTCCCCCAGCCCTGCCAGCATCCCGCCAGGGAACAGGACTTGCTTCAAGGCACAGGCAGAACAGGTGCCTTGACCTGACCCCTAGCTGGCACCCCTGTCCTCCACCTCCTGCTGCTCCACCCGTCAGAGGGCACACCTGAGTCAGCGAGCCTCAGAGTGGGGCTCCCAGACCCCTCTGCCAGCTCTCCCTGCAGTGACTAGAAAAGCAGCTCTGGCCACACACGCCCACCCCCCCACCCAACTCAGAGACGGGCAGTGGAGCCCAGGACCCTCCTCGGGGAGTCGGGGGACACAGCGGCAGGTGCTAGAGCACACCTTCATCCCCGTGAGCCCGCTTCTCCCACCCCGGCAGGTGGTGCCATCCACTCCCTCCGCCGGTTCCTGTCCTCTGTGTCCGGCTGCTCGGGTCCCAGAGGAGCTGAGGTCCCTCGCCCACAGACCTCTGGTTTCAGGAACCTGAGTCCCTCCTTTGAGTCCCCCCTGCTCTGGGCTCGCCGCATGCATGACCTCATTTCGTGCGAGCCTCAACCTCTTCATCTGTCGCACGGGGCCGTTCCCTGCCACCGGGGGCTCTGGGAGAGGGAACTACTTGGGAAGGTGTATTCAAACGGCAAATCCTCTAGAAACGCTGGTGTGAAGCGGTTGTGTCGCCGGTGTTGGTGTGAAGATTTGGCTGCATCTTAAGCTCCGCATGGAGTTTAGAACTTGGCGTGGATGTCGTGAAAGGAAAGGGAGGCCATGCAGCTTTTGTGTTGCAACCAATACAAACAACGGAGAAGCATCTCCCTCAATCACAGCACAAATGCCTCTGTGTCTCGTGTCACGTGGGAGGAAGGCTTTTCTGTGTGAGACCCTGGAAGTTTCTGTAGCGGACAGAACAGTGGCCCCCGAAGCTGTCCCCATCCTCATCCACGGGACCCGAGACTGTGTTCACTTACGTGGCAAAGGGACAGTACGGTTGCAGAAAGAATTAAGGTTGCTAATCAGCTGACCTTGTAACAGGGAGAGCGTCCTGGGTCATCAGCCGTCTTTAACTGCGGGGGCTGAGAAATGACAGGCAGAACCCAAGGGGGCTGTGACCACGGGAGAATGGTCAGAGGGCTGTGACGCCGCTGGCTTTGAAGGTCAAGAAAGGCAGCCGTGAGCCCGGACGTGCGGGCAACATCTTGAAGCTGAAAAAATCAAGGGCGGCCCAGGGCCTCCAGTAGGAGGGCCACCCAGCTGACACCTTGACGTCAGCCCGGGGAGACCCGGGTCAGAGTTCAAACCTGCAGACCTGTAAAATCGTGAATGCATGTTGTCTGAAGCCACTGAGTGTGTGGTGGTTTGTGGTGGCAGCAACGGGAAATTCACACAGCTCCCATTCAAGGAGTCTGCAGCTGTATTCTAGCGAAGATGGCTCCAAGGCTATTGACGTGCAAGGCCAAGGACAGCCCCCGTCAACCTCCACCAGGAGCACTGCCCGGAACGGTCAGGTCCTGGGCTCATCGATGGCCCTCTGGGAGGGGTGGCGGTGAGCAACACGTTGCCACAGCCAGACTAAGAAATCTCACGGAGCACGCGGGGCAGGCCCTGGCCTTTGTCACAAAGACAGCGCAGCCCAGACCCCACGGTCCGGGCTTATCAAGAACCAAGGGGAAGGGATCACTTCAGTCATTGGGTTCTTCCTTCTGTCCCGCCATCTGTGCCTCCAGCTTCAGCTGCTGCCTGCTGGGTGGTGACGGCCTGCCCACACGTACGCAGCGGAGGACTGAACAACTTCCCAACACACAAGTGAACAGCTCCCCGCTCTGCACGCCCACGCTCTGAGCGCGCCGGTGGCCTTTCCCGCGGCCTCGCACAGCTCAGTAACAGCGATTGGGGCGGGGGGTGGACCTACCGCACCCCAGTGGGTCCTGAGTGGCATTGCCGGCGGCTGGGACGAGCTGGAATCCTTCCAAGCACCCATATCGCATCCTGGGAGAGGTGCCAAAGCCGTCCCCTTGGAGGAAGCGGAGGGAGGTGTCCGCGGGGAACGTCTTGGAGTCCAGATGGAGCTGGAAGGTCCCACTCTGGATCAGATCCGCGAAGCGCCCGACCAGATCCTCGCCCACTAAGGCTTCCTCTGCAAGACATGGGACGGGCGGCAGTGTTAGCTCACTGTCCTCTGCGGGGACCAGGGGGACAAGAGCCACCCGGAGTGTCCACACCGAGACACAGGCATTACCCAGGGCTGCACTGCACAGAGGAGGAAGGAGACACAGACATTACCCAGGGCTGCACTGCACAGAGGGGGAAGGAGACACGGGCATTACCCAGGGCTGCACTGCACAGAGGGGGAAGGAGACACAGACATTACCCAGGGCTGTACTGCACAGAGGGGGAAGGAGACACAGACATTACCCAGGGCTGCACTGCACAGAGGGGGAAGGAGACATGGGCATTACCCGGGGCTGCACTGCACAGAGGGGGAAGGAGACACGGGCGTTACCCGGGGCTGCACTGCACAGAGGGGGAAGGAGACACGGGCGTTACCCGGGGCTGCACTGCACAGAGGGGGAAGGAGACACGGGCATTACCCGGGGCTGTACTGCACAGAAGGGGAAACTGAGGCCCACAGAAGAGGATGATTGGCCTGAGGTCACGCAGAGTCAGAAGCCCAGCCAGCCCTCCAACCCGCGTGTGCCATGTGATCCCCGCTGGCACGGGACATCACGACTTCAGTCACTAAGCTAAGGCGCACCACCTCTGAGCCTCCTTCCCCCAGCTGCACGATGGAACCGCCCCTCTCGCCGCCGCTGCTGATGCTGACGGGAGAGAACATGTGATGGGGCCACCCCAAGCGAAGACAGAGCCCCCAGGGGACGAGGAATCCTTCCGCCTCCATGTCTGCCGAGGGGCCTCCAGCGCCTCACGGCGAGTGCTTCCCAGGACGAGGGAGGACGAGCCCCACAGCTGGAGCTGGGCGGGGCCCCAGCACGCAAGGCACGTTCACAGCAGGCTGTCATACAGCCAGCAGAGGCCTGATGCTGGGAGGAAACACCTCTGCCTTTTGAGGCTCCAAATAGACCCCAGTTACCCGGGCTCTTTGCAGAGAAAGACAAGGGAACCCTTAATGCATCAGGCTCAGGGGTGGGGGGAGCGGACACAGTCACCCTTCCGGTTACACCCTGGCCACCTCTTCCAGAAGCCCCACCTCACAGGACAAAGGTGAGCTCCGGCCAGTCCTGACCCTCAGGGTATCGTGAACTCCCCCGCGCTTCTCCGCAGACCCTTCTCCTCTCCCAGCTCGTCCTCACTGCAACCGCCCTGCTTGGGCAGCGTGGGAAGGGGTTCACCGCCAGCAGTGGGCAGGGCGTGGACAACGAACCAGCAGAGACTCCTCCTCGCCAGTCCCTCCCACCCTTTCTTCGCACCTACAGCCCCTCTCTGGGCCCAGAAAATCAGGAGGAGAATTAGAAGATGTTTGCAGAGACGCAGTCGGGCGACGTGATTTAACTCTCGTGAGCTGTCGACCAGAAATGGGCTGATCTTTGCAGACGGTTCCGCACTCCGCTCCCGCTGAGGGTCAGGGGAGCGGGGGCAGTCCTCACCAGAGGCCCTCGGGAAAGCACCCTGAGTTCACCAGCCCCGCCCGCCCGAGGAGGAACCTGGGGCCCGGAGACCCTGCTGCGCAGCCTCTGAAGGGCAGCCAGGCGGGAAACGCACCCACGTCGCGCAGATCGGGCAGAGAGGCTGGCGGGACATCCTCGAGCCGCAACGTCCACGTGACGTTCACTCCCAGGCGCTCCCCGCTCAGGCATTCCACCCGCACCGCCGAGTCGTCGCAGACGGGAATGGAAACGGGGGTCCCAAAGGTCGGCACCTGCGGAGACAGACGCCCTCGGCTCAGGAACACGGCGGGGAGCCGGCTTTCCTGGGCCCGCGGCAGGCCCCAGCCTCGGTCTGTGCTGCGGTCTGTGCTGCTGCTGGAGGAGGCCATCGCGAGGGCCTGACGGCGGGGCGGCCTGCCAGCTGCACCCCGGCCATCGCCATCGGGGGCTCCTCGCCCCTCCCCCATCCTCGGGACCTGCGCTCTGCCCGCCGTCCCCGCAGTGGAGGCTGCTTCAAGGACGCAGCCTTGAGGTGGACGAGACGGAGCTCCATGAAGGTCTCCGCATAAACTTTGAAGGTTCTGGTGGGCGGTATGGAGACCTGCTCATCTTGCCCCCGCCCCAGACAAGCCAGGCACGTGAGCCCCCTGCTGATGGGCACTGTCACCCACCAACCTGGAGCCGTCTCACCCTCTTGCTCTCTCCTTGCCCTCCCCAGGGGGGCCAGTTTGCCAACCGGCACTTCCTCTAGTCCTCCCGGTGACCTCCCTCAGGGCGTGAAGCATTCCCACCCTCTCCACCCCACCTGAGAGACACGAGGCTTGGAGAAGGCGGATAATCTACCCTGGTCGCACGGCTTACAGACGTAAGTGTGGTGAGAACCCAGTGTCCTGTGCTTCAAAGCCTGGAAGCTCCTGTACCCGGGGTACCACAGTTCAAGGGCGAAACGACCTCAGCCGACTGGGCAAACGTGCTCACAACAGGCACACCCAGCAGGAGGGACACAGCCCTTCCTCCTCACACGCCGTAGCGCCCACGGGCTCCTCCGCTGTGGCCACGCAGCCTGGCTCCTCCTCCCAGCCTGGGCACGGCCGCATCCAGGGCCCCCTGGATGTCTGTGACTCCCAGGCTGCCTCGGGATGGGTGGGTGGGTGGGCGGCGATGGGTCTGGAGTGCCACACCAGCTCACCCCGGAGAGGGGGCGCCCCAGGCACCTGGGGGACGGCTCTGGGGGGGCAGCCTGTGCTTCAGGGCATCATCAGCACGGCGCACCATGCCACAGACTGGCACCACGCTGTGCCACGTGCCACGCACCGCAGCACACCCAGGGTGAAGGTGATGTTCATGCTGTCGTCCCTGGAAGGGAAACGGCTGGGCGCCTGCCTGGCAATGGGCTCCGTCTTTGAACATTCTCCACTAGTCAGGCCCCGTGCAAAGTGCGCTGAACACAGGAGCTGGTTTAGTCTCTAAAACAAGCTGTGGCCTCAGGATTACCATCGCTGCCCATTACAGATGAGGAAGCAGCCTCAGGGAGGCTGAGGAACTGCCAACAAACGGTGGAGCTGGGATTCGAACTCCTGCTAACCCGGAACCTGTGACCTCAACCTCTCAGCAGAGCGTACCAAGCGAGAGAGAGCTTTGGTGGCACACAGCATCTCAGAGAATCCGACCCTCCAGGGTAGGTGCTCCCGGCCCCGCTGCACAGGCGGCTGACGTGAGGGCCCGCCAGGCCACTCCAGGCCCAGGTCACGCAGGAAGGAAGTGGGGGAACCAGGCTTTGAACCAGACCCATACGACTTGAAAGCCTGTGTATCACCTCTGACCTCTGAATAACACCTGCCCCTGGCCTGAGAGGCCCTCTGTCTCCTGGTCACACCCTGACACTTGTTCCCGGAGGCCCCCACTGCCCAGCCCCTGCCCCGGCTGCCCTCTCACCCATCAGCCTGCAGCGGGCTCCTCTCTCAGGGCTGGGGATTCTGGGATGTTTCACCCCTCGCCGTGGGAGGTTTAACTCCCTCCTCTCAGGAAACAGCAGCACCCAGCACCGTGTCTACGCCCAGCCCTCGAGCCTGAACCTTACTCCCCGCCATGTTCCCTGTCTCCACAGTGCAGTGTCTGCTAACTAAGCCATCCAGGTGTTTCTGCCTCCCGGGGGGGCCCAAGTCCTCCTGCTTCCAGTCGGGTGTGAGAGAGTCTGGGCGGACCTGGACGCACTGAGCAATACGTAATCATGGGTGACACTCTCTACAGCCTTCAGGAAACTCTGTGTACACAGAGGGCAATGGCCCCTGCTGACCGGTGGGCTGGAGTCATCAGGAAAAGGAAAGTACAGTGTCCCCCACCGCCGGGCTCGGCAATGAACAGGGAGTGCTGGGACTGTTGTCACGTGCATTTCTTTGGAGCAAAGGGGGCAATTTATGTTTCTGTTTGTTTTAGAATCAACACTCTCCAGTTTGCTTGTGTGAAAATGTGTGTTCTGCAAAATTCTCAGCGTTGGGCGCTGAACACGAGTTGCTCTGATGAATTAGCAAACTGGGAACGGAACGAGGAATTACTGAGTTGAGCGACTTTTGAAGACGCGCTCTGTGAATTCCGGCGGCTTCAACTCGCCCGCGCCTGCTACACGGCTAAAAGCCTGACGTGCGTTATTTATGGTCCCACGTCTTTCCAGCTGGCAGGCTCCAATCTCTGCTCAGAGAGGACCCCTAATGCCTTCCCGTGGGTCTGCCAAGAAACGCATCTGTCCCGGCGGCGCAGGGAGTGGGCTGCGGCACCTCTACCACCCTGCCCCGGGTTCCCAGGCTCTTTTTCCACGGGCGGTGGCTGCACTCCGTGGCATCACAGCTCTGCCACTGCCCAGCCCTGTGCCCCTGGGCAATCACTGAACCCTCTCGTCTTCACTCCCCCGACCTACAAAGCAGCAAGAACAGGGTCACTCTGAAGCCTGCGTGAACCCCTCCACGCCAAGGGACGCACGGTGCCTGGCACACGAGACGTGCTCAGCACACGTCTAGTTTGACATCTTTACGTAGCGAGAATGGCCGGGGATGAGGTGACCTCCGACGGCGCCTCCGCCGCTGCACCGTTGGCCTTGGCCGAGCTACTTTCCCCTCCTGGGCCTCAGTTTCCCCACTGGCGAAATGAGTGGGTGTCGAACTCTAGGTTCATTTGAGCGCTGAGGGTTTCTGACACCACGACCCCGAGCTGAGTCCCAGCGCCCGCCGTGGGGAAGGCCCGGCACCTACCTGGATGCGGCAGAAGCCGCGGGCTGTGAGCTCGTCCAGGATGAAGACCTGGAACGCCAGCAGCAGGCCCGCGTAGTCCGCACTGCACGTCTTGCCCGGCGGGAGCTGGAGCTGGACCTGCGCTCCGGTCTGCAGGGTCTGCCACAGCTGCGGCCCTGCAGGGAGCGTCAGAGGTCAGCAGGCGCGGGTGACAGCCCTGTGGGACCCTTTGCTGTCCCTTGTTTGTGTTTTTTCCCCTGCAAAAACGACCCTCCTTCATTTAGTTTGGAACACGCAAGCACTGCCATCTTGCATTGTCATCCTCGGAGCCTAAGTACTTCCTAGCCTGACAGCTGGCTCTGAGATTACTTAGCACGCACAGCCAGCACCGCCTGCCTCAGCCTCTAACCAGGCTGCTTCCCATACTGGGGGTCCTAGTATCCTTCTTGGAAGAACTTCCATGCTATCTTGCATTCCAACAGGGCAACGCCGTGTGGTTTTGCCAGTGAAGAGCAGACACCACAGCCCATAGGAAAGGCGTGCCCCAAGGTTGTTCAGTGCACAACCCACACCCCGTACACAGCAGCCCTGCACTCGGCTTTTGGAGTTCGAGACCCACACCTCTCCCCTCCCAAGTCCCAGGTCCCTTGCTCTAAATCCACTTGTGACCAGCCTGCTCTGGACCTCAGCTCAGGCCACTTCGTCATAGTCAGGGCGACAATCCACTTTATTTGCCCACATCGCATTTGGACTTTTTCTGGATAGCATTCTCTATCCCAGAATGCTTTGCAACAAGTACTGTCCTTGGACACCCTGCCAGCCACTCAGAGCCCTGTGCCAGTCCCAGCGCCCGCCCCTGCCTTGCCTGGCTGAGTAACGACGCCAGCCTTTGCCCAGGCAGACGCAGCCAGAGCCCAGGGCTGCCTCCCAGCCAGCGCACGTGGCAATGTGCTCGTGGCAGGGCAGGGCAGGAGCCCTGCCGACATTCAAACAGGGCACAGGCCCACAGCTCTGCCTGGCACTAGCCCAGAGCTCCAGACGCACCTGGGAGAAGGAGCAGCTTGTGTGGCAGAGTCGCACTCAGATGCCAGACAAGCAGCTTGGAGCCTGTCAACACCAGAGTAACCGATACGGCCACTGGAGCACCTGCCCGTGAACACGGTCCTCTATCCGAGACACCCCAGTGGCGCCTGAAATGATGGCAGCTCTCCAAGGAGCAGGCGGCTCCAGAGGAGCCAGCAAGGGGTCTGTGAAGCACACTGGGCTCCTTCTAGAAATGCCCCAGCAGGCCCTTGCTCCTGCCCTGGAGGCCACCCGCGCACGCACATGCGAAGGCTACACAGGTCTGGAACGCAGGAGGCCACTCACGCTGGCAGGCCCGGGGATGCGGCGGCGGGGACAGCCAGCGTCTCCTCTCGGGGCTGCACGCCAGTGGCCCTGCTGGGAACATGCTCCAGGAGCCCCGGCGGCACAGCAGCTGGCACCGCTGGACGGCAGCGCCCTCCGGGCCCAAGGCTCGCTCGCACAGGATCGCTCCACCAGCCACGTCCGGCGCGTTGAACGGCAGCGGGCACTGCGGGCCTGGAGGGAGGAGAGAGGGCCGGCTGTGGGCCTCCACCCAGCACAGGGGGCCCAGCGCCCCAGCCTCTCCCCTCCCCTCCCTGCCCGCAGGTATGCCAGGCTCCTCGGCACCTGGCCTGGGCCCCTCCCGCCCTCTTCTTGGAGGAGCCGTCCTCCTCGCTCAGCTTTACCAGACCCTCCAGCAAGGGCGACTCTCATCGCCAGCTCAGACCTCTCGAGCTGCTTCTCGTCTCAGACCCGATCACCAGCCGGTCCTCCCCACCTCAAGGCCAACACACCCTAACTCACTGCTGCGCCCCCGCCACGCCTGTCCTTGCTTCAGCGCCTGGCACTCAACGCACGGCCCCTCCCGCCACCCAGCTGTCCCGGGCCAGAAACACACGGCGGCCCTCTTGGACGGTGCCCTCCCCTGCCCGGCGTCAGCGCAGGCTGCGGCCGCCGGCCTCTCGACATCTCCGCGTCTCCACTGCACCCCTTCATCTTCTCCTTGGACCCTTAGAGAAGCTTCCTCGTCCGGTCCCTCCCGCTCCCAGCAAAGGAACTGCAGCGGAGCCGGACGTCAACTCTCCGTTCCCGGTGCTGCTGACCCAGCCCTCTCCCCGCCCCGCTCCCCTGTGCCCAGCCCCGCAGCCCCCAGGAACGGCTGGCTTCCCCCGAACAGCTCTTCGCCACACGCCTCTGCCTGCCCATCTGCCCACAGGACGCCCTGTGGGCCCTCGGTGATCTGCCTGACGCCCCCGGCTTTCCAACCCTTCTGTGGTTCTCCTAGGCCTTCCCGGGCCTCCTTTCTCCACACTCTCCGGCAGCTGGCACAGCCCCCCATGCTGCCAACGAGTCAAGCGTCCAATCGCTGCACGCGGTCTCCCCGCGGGACAGAGCCACGGACGGAAGCGGGGGGCTTTCCCCTGCTCGCCCAGGCCGCGGCACAATGTGGACCGCGGATGCGGGCGGAACAAGCGGGTGAGTGAGCAAATGAAAGAGCAGACACACTCAGCAGGATGCTGTCTCACCTGACTAGAGGTTTACTTAATTGTCTGACTCTGGGGCACAGCCTCCCCGCCTGTTTATGTCTGGCTCTGTGACTTGCAGTTCACATGGGATTCTCGGGGATTCGGGGGCCTCAAAGATGGACGACGGCTCAGTGTGAACTCCGAGGTGCAGCCCTGACTTCCTTCTAACAAGAACGATGGCCTCTGGCCAAGAGTCTGCGCTGTGATTGGCAGGGGCGGACTGAGTGGGTTCGTACACAGACTCCGGCCGCCGCGGGCTCTGGGGCCGGGCTGCCAGGCATGGAGTCCTGGCTCGGTCGTGCACCAGCTGAGAGCCCCAGAGCCAGTTAATTAACTTCCCTGTGACTCAGTTTCCTCCCCCCTAAAATGCTGAGGATAGCAAGAATGCCTGCCTCCTAAGGACGGAGTGACTCAAAATCAATTAAGGCACGCAGGGAGCTTAGAAGAGTTGCTGAAACATAATAAATGCCCGATACATGTCAACTGTCATCATTGTTATTAACAACAAAGGGAGTATGCATTGCTGCCCACAATGACAATTTTAGGATGTGAGTGTTTGCACAGCTGTCCTTGGAGGAGACCCCTTGCCCCACAGACGCGGGCCCTGAATACCTCTTCTGCCCTACGGCCCACAGCAGCACGTGGAGAGCCGGGTGTGACCCCAGAGGCTGTGCGTGGCGCCCCCAGGCTACGTGGTTTACAGAGACTGTTTGAGTTAACCCTCACGGTGATTCTAGGGAATCACTATGATCCCGCATGCTTATTGCACAGAGTGGGGCACTGGGACCCAGGGAGGTTAAGGGACTAGCCCGCGGTCACCCAGCAGGGAAGTGGAGAGCCGACACCCCAGCCTGGCTGGCTGGCTGGCTGGCTGGCTGGCTGGCTCCCACCTCTGAGCTCCCTCCACCGCACTCCGCAGGAGGCCAGAAGGAAGAGCCGTGGGGGGTGGGGCTCGTGTCAATGCTGGCCGCTCCACTTGCCGGCTGTGTGCCCTGGGACATGCGCGTGAACCTCTGAGCCCCAGGTCTGCCATCTGTTAAACTGTGGGACTGTCCTATCCATTTACCTGCATGGGATAAGGGATAGGAAAGGCACCTGTGAACAGGTGAGTCTCTGCACACGTGAGCTATGATCATGGAAGCCTGCAGGACCAGCCACACAGGGGCTCCCCAGCCCCTGAAAGAGCTGCGCCCCCAGGCCTGCTCCTGGAGGAGACACGTTGGTCGGTTCCCCGGGTCCCGGACCGTGCAGAACACTCTCGGGTGCCCTGGGAATTGGGCATGGACTGTTCCCACCCTAAGGCTGATTCCACTTCCCGCGGAAGCACACGGCAGGGGGTCCCTCTCATAGACACCCACTGAGCGCCTGCTGCGTGCCCTGCGTGGGGGCAGCTGCTGAGGCCACGGAGGTGAGCGTGACAGGGCCCTGCCCTGACCGCGGCCCCGCACAGAAGGGGGCGAAGCGGGGGGCTGGGGAGAACAGCTGGGCCGTGAGACTGCGGGCACGTCACAGGCTGGGGGCGGGAGGGGGGTGGGCCGGAGGGCAAAGCGCCCCCACCGAGACTGGCACGTTCTCTTTACAAATACAAATACAGACTTACGAGTACAGGAGGTTCCCTCTACACATATAAGTCACCAGACTTAGACTTAATCAAATGTCTCTGCAGTCCCGAAAGGCTGCTTAGAGACCGCAACACTTAAGAACAGCGCCGTGGCACAAGAGCAACGGGAGCGCGCGGCTCCCGGGAAAACCGGGATCCCTGGTGCAGCGTCTCTCGGCCCCGCCAGACCCAGCACCCCAGCTTGTGGGGAACACTTTGCGACGCCCTGATGGACGGTCCTGAAATGAAATGCAGAGTCCGCCCTGCTTGCTCGGGTGGATTTTAAAGTGATTATAATGCCCTGTGACTTGAGCAGCTGGGAGAAATAAAAGGCCAGTAACTGGTAATGAAATAATAGATTTGAACACGTAATAACCTATTTCAATATTCTGATACATACTCCTATGATACAGTTTAATATTTGGATATTATAATACCCAAGTAATTTTTAAAGTAGCAATAGAAACAAACAAGTCAACGCCTGCCCAGATTCCCAGAGCTCAGGCTGAGGCGGACCCCTCCCCACCACTGAGGATGTGCTCTCGGGCCCCGCCTTCCTTCCCCCTTGACATTGGGAGACCAGGACCTGGAAGCCCCCTGCCGGCCAGCCGGAGCTTCCTGGGGGCCAGCTCCGGGGACGCCCACAGGGCCTCTCCCCAGTCTCAGCTCCAGGGCTGAGCTCTTGCAGGAAGCAGACACCAGTTTCGACCTCATGGGAGTCAGTGGCACCCCCGGGCTCATGCTCATCCCGGGCCCCCCTGCCCCACTGTCTTGCTCCTCTGGAGTCCCTCCTGCCCCCACCCCCTCCCACCCCCACCCCCACCCCCACCCCACCCCTGCCAGCCTGAGGGAAGGAATAGAGGAGCAGGGCCCACGGCTTACTCTCACAGGCCGGCTGGCCCCCGGCCACTCGGGTCCCCGGCACCTCCTCTCCGTTGCCCAGGACACACCAGCAGCTGCCCTGGGCCGGGTCACACTGCACGGGGGAAAGGCCTCCGTCCTCTGTCCCGCAGGCCAGGGTGTCGCCTGGGCCGGCTCCGCTAGAGAGGACGCCAGTCTGCAGTGGCGCACAGAGGCCCAGGCCTGGACACAAAGACAAGTCGGATGGAGTCCTTACCCACGGAGGCCCCAGAGCCCACTCCGCCCACAGGTGCCACCCACCGCCGCCTGCGTGCAGGGTCCTCCTGGGTCTGCACTGCCTGCCGCTGGGGCGCCGACCTCGGGCAGGGCGAAGGCCGGGCCTCACTCTCTGTGCACCCCACCGCGCGCGCACACACACACACACACACACACACACACACACACAGCCTGCCCTCAAGGAGCTCGGAGTCTGCAGGGAGATGTAACATGGGAGCGACCGGGAGTGTCCGACATCTTCCCGGCACACGTCATCAGTTCAGCTCAGGTAAGCTCTTATTGAAAATATGCGTATAAACAAGTAAGTGAGCAGCCATAGTTTGGGGTGATGAGAGCAATGACTGGGGGTGCTCAGGGCACTTCAGGGGCCGCAGGAAGGCCCTGAGCTCAGCGACGGACGAGAGGCCCGCAGGGACTGGGGGTCAGCCAGGGAGGGTGGGGAGGCGTGGAGACACTGCGGGGCAGAACCTCAGCCCGAGGTGGCCCAGGAGGAAGGGTGTCGCCCTCTTAAAAAGCCTGGCTACAGCTCATCACACCCGCCCGGATCCTGAACAGCGGCAGGAGGAGGAGAGACGGGAGATGCAGGAGCCGTGCATGCGCAGGCAGGGTGGTGAGCAGCGGGGGCCTGGCCCTGGGGACCACGGGGCGTGTGGGTGGCTCTCAGGAAGAGGACGGCTGTCAGCACATCTGGACTTGAAGGACGGCATCTTGACCGCACCGTGGGACCCAGGCCTGGAGGCGAGGGACCCGGCGGGGGCCCTCCCTGTCATCAGTGCTGTTCATCTGGTCACCCCGCAAAAGCACCAGTGCCCGTCTCAACTGGGGCCAGCAGCAGCTTGTGCTTCTGGGTCACAGAGCACATCCGGACTCCCTGCCGTGTGCATTTCTCCCAAGATCCCCCTGAAGCTGGGGAATGTTGCTCCTGTTTTACAGATGGGAAGACTGAGGCACGGTGAGGGTAGGAGCTGCCGTGGCTCTGGGAGTGGCAGAGCCGGGACAGGCAGCCAGCGCCTGGGACGCCGCACCCAGGCCTGGGTACACGGGAGGAGCCAGGGGCACAGGGGGCGGGGCGATTACTCACACTGGGCACTGCTGTTGGTGCCGGGCACGGCACCCTCCCCCGAGGCCTGGTCCACGCACCAGACGCCGGCCTCCGACGCCTGCAGCCTGGCGAACTCTCCTGTCTGGGACAAAGCCAAGGTCGAGTCACCCTGGGGGAGGTGCTGGTGCTGCCGCCCCCAGGCCGGGGAGCAGATGACAAGAAAGCCCCCTCCAAAACTCCCGGTGACTGAACGTTCCTTCCCAAACTTCCGCACACGGCGGGAGACGGTGTGGGGCAGGCGCTCTCCTAATCCAGACCCCCTCCACACACTGTCGGAACTGAGGGCGGAACCGCCCCATGAGGCGGGGCCACGGGCACCCCGTTCTAGGGACCCCACCTGGCCTTCATGAAGCCCCTGGGGGCTGCACAGAGCAGGCGGCGCCGCTCCTGCCAGACTGTCTTAGGGCGGGGAAACCGAGTCCCGAAGGCCTCATTTGGCGGGTCGGCGGTTAAGATTCTAGCATGATTCCTTTCTCCAGGAGCCTTTACTCCCAACACCCGCCGCTGCCCTGAATTACTACAGTCACCCAGGGGGCCGGGGAGGGCCACAGAAGGACGTCTCCGTGGACGCTGAGAAACTCAGGTGTAATGTGCACTTGACTTTGCCAAGATGACTTTAAGGAAAGCACGGACATGTGTAAGCCATTTTTCAAAGAGTCTTCACGACTGGTATTTCCTTGGGCCCTCAAAACAACCCCAGCACCAGGCAGGGTGGAAATGTGGTCTGATCACGGGATTTAAAAAAAAAAAACGAAGCGTAGAGGAGGTGAGTAAGTTGGCCAAGGTCACCCGGCAGACTCTGCCAGGACGGAGACAAAAATCCAGACCTGGTGCCTGTGAGCTTTTAACAAAAACAAATTTATTGCACGCCACAAAATTCGTGCTCGCCCCGTGGGAGCAAGTCCCGGCTTCCTTCGCCGCCTCCCTGGGCCCCCAGGGCCTCACCTCCAGGCAGGCTGGGACGAACAGGTCTCTGGGCGAGGGGTTTGCCTGGGGTCCAGCCTGCTTCCAGCCGGAGAGCAGCGCGCTGGCTCGCGATCTCTCGCAGGTGGTGGGGCCTGCGGGAGAGAGGGAGACGCCGTCGTGAGCGGCCCGGCGTAGGTCCGGGGCTGGCTGAGCGTCAGAGCCGTGCCTCTGGGTGGGTGGACGGAGGGGCCCTCACGGAGCGCCGGAACCTCACGGGAGAAGCAGGCGGAGGTTCAGGACCACGATGCATGCGAATGCATCATCCGTGAGACGCAAAGGGGACAACTGATTTCCTGGGTCGGACGCCAGGGGGAGGCTCTGCTGCAGAACAGAGGTGAGCTGGTGGGCGGGACCCAGAAGGGGGTGGGACCGCCCAGGCAGCAGGTCTGCAGGGGACACCCAGGGCCCTTCACCTCCCCCCCCCCGCCCCCCCGCCCTGCTGACTCTCCACCCAGGAAATGAGGAGGGACCGAGGTCTGTGAGAGGTCTTCCCGGGCTGGGGACTTGGGAAAGCGTGGTCTGGCTGCACGCAGGGGTGGGTAACAACAGGGGGCACCACCAGCCCTGAGTGCCCGGGCAGGGGGGTGGGGGGATGGGCATCACTCACACTGCGGGGCCTCGGGGGAGCGGGCGGTCAGCGAGGCGGGGACGTACTGCCCCGTCCCATCCACACACCAGCAGTGCCCTAGGAGAGAGCCACAGCGGAGTCCAGGACACGCACACGGGGCTCGTCCCCTGGTGTCCCACAAACCTCTATCCATCCTTCCATCCCTAGCAGGGCCGGAACGGTCCTCCACCCATCCCGCTGCCCGACACTGCTCACTGTCTCAGGCCTTAGCACCCCAACCCCCCCAGCAATCACCCACTTGACCTTCAGGCTGGTAGAGGGTCACTGCTCCCCTTGTACAGGTGAGTCACCCACGGGCCAGAGAAACTAAGGGATTTGCCACCAGCCACCACGGAGGGCCCTGAAGTCCAGCTCACTCGCCCTAGTGCGGGGCCCTTCCCACTAAATGGACAGGGGGCGCACCACTCGGCCTCCCACGGGCGCCCATCCCCCTCACCAGTCCCGGGGTGGCACTGCACGGGCTCCCAGCCTCCAGAGGCGTCGCACCGGGGCACGTAGGGGCCGGGCTGGGGCGGGGACGCTCTCGAGGAGCCCCCCGGGGAGAGGCTGCGGCTCCGGTAGAAGTCGAAGGCTGCAGCAGAGACAGGGGAGCAGGGGTGAGCCCCTGACCGGGACGGCTCCACGGCATGGGCTCTGCCACCGAGGAGAGCCACGCATGTCCCCGCACCAGCACACCGAGGCGACCAACGTTCCCGCCCAAAAAGGGACAGCGGTGCCTTGAACCGTGCCCAGGCACTCGCCGGACAGTCCCTGAAACTAAAAGTGTGGGCGGATGTTCGAGGGAGGCTCTGTCGTCCTCTCGCCGTGACTCCCGCACGGAGTCACTCGGGTCAACGACACGCCTTCAGTGCGGGAGGTAACAGCAGGGGCAGACGTGACCCTTTAACACGCACGGGCTCGGGCCCCAGCAAAGTGCCTGCTCCGGTGCACTGAGTCCTCACAACTGCCCCCGAGGGAGGAAGCATTTCCCCAGCTCAGCGGGGAGAAAGCAGCTCGCCGGCGGTCCTGCCCCCCAGAGGGGCAGGGGGCTGGACTTAGAACGCAGAAGCACATCTGTGTGAGCTGCCCTCTTGCCCTCTGCCAAACTCCTCTAATGTGGGTCTTTACCCCACTCAGACTGGGTTCTCCATGAAACCTTCTCCTGTCTCCAATCAGCTCCCCGAGGCCGGAACTTCCACCCCAAGGAGCGAGGGAATGGGCTCAGTGAGGAAGCTCCATGATGCACAGAGAGTCGCCCAGCTGATCGCTGTGCCCCGTCCTCGGCCCCCCACGTCCCCCCGTCCTGCTGGCCTCCCCCCACAGCACCCCCCACCAGGGACACGCTGGACATGGTGCCTGCCGTTGTGTTCAGGTCTGTCTCTTCCGTGGCAGCCTTTAACCCTTTGGTGCAAAGTCTCAAGTTTATTTTGCGCATGGAGTAGTGTCTGCCTGGTCGTAGGCGCTCAAGAAACATTTGGTGAGCGGAAGAAAAGAAGCGAGGGAGAAGGGAACGGCCACAGCCTGGGCAGCCCCGCCTCACACCGGGGTGCTCTCCCAACTCCCCCCCTTTTGGCGATGAGCCTCTCAGCTTCCAGAGCAGGGAGCTCCCCAAGCTCAGGACACCGCCACCCCCAGTCCCAGCCCATTGGAGGAGACCAGGACCCGTTGGGCCCAGTCGACAGGACCCGGGAGTCCCACAAGCTTCTGCCCGATTCCTGGCACGGCATCTCTGGGCTGTGTGATCGTGGGCAATGTGCCAACCTCTCTGAGCCTGAGCTTCCCCATCTGTGAAGGGGGTCTAACACTTAACAGGGTGAGTGTGACATTTGTATCAAAGGAGCTCATGCACCAAGCCCACGCCGGGCACAGCTATGGACCTCTCCGCCCACACTCCCCTCACCCGGGGACGCTGCAACCACGTTCTGTTGGCCAAAGACACTTTGTGGCCCTCGGTCCCTCCTTGTCCTGGGGCCCCGGTCCCCAGACTCTCCGGGACCTGGAGGTCTACACACAAGCTTCCTCTCCTCTGCAACAGCAGAGACGCCTCTCCCCAGCGTGAGGGACCCTGGGGAAATGAGCCATTCCGCTCCTTCCCGGCAGCCGCTTCCTCTGGGTCTCCAGCACCACACGTGGGCACGCAGGCCGGCGGCCAAGCGGAGGGGAGCGCCCTTCGCGCGACCTCGGCAGAAAACGCCATCGCTGCCACTCGGCAAATAAACCTCTGTGGCTCCAGCAGCTTCCCGTCCCCTTCCCCACACGCCCCCCACTAACCAAAGTGGTCGCAGCTCCCGGGGCAAAATCCCACCCTTTGAAAACATCAAATCCTGTCCGTGCACCCAATGCAAAACAACTGGTTTCTTGCCCAAAGCGAAAGCCCTGAGGCGTCCGAGGAGCAGAGAAAGAGGGGAGGGCAGAAGCAGGAGAGACGGCGAAGCAACACGAGCTGGGCTCCTGCCGTCCGCCAGGCCCAGGATGTGAGGATGAGTAAGACAAGACATGATGCCTTGTCCTCCAAAAGCGATGACAGGTGACAGGTGGAGCAGGACACAGGGCTGGCGCGTGGGAGGTGCTCACTCGGGAGGGGTTAGGGGAGCAAAGGCACCAGGCCCACCCACACGGCAGCAGACATCTGAGGACAGGGAAGCAGGGTGTGCCGGCCCACGGCCGTGGGCGCTATCTGTCTTGGCTCAGACGGCATCCGGAGGCAACTGCTTTGCTGTCACCCAAGACCAGAAAGCTCCAGACAAGAAGCCAGCCGAGATCACCTGACCAGGGACAGGGAACTCGGGCAGGCTTGGAGACAGGGGTCTTTTGTCCCTCTCTGGCTGGCACGGGGTCGGCGAGAGAGCCGGGAGGGGCCCGGAGCACGGGCAGAGGCCCTGGGGTGAGACAGGTCTCGGCCGGGCAGGGCACAGAGGCTCAGGGGCCGACCACGCTGCACGCCCAGGCTGTGCCAGCAACTCCCTGGGTCACCTCGGGCCTGCGACTGAACCTGCTTCTGCATTTTGAAAAGAAGCACAGACGGCGATTACAGCATCGTTCTCAGGAATCTGTTGGGCGGTCAGATCCACCGAGCTCAGGAAGTGCCCAGCCAGGGGTGGGTGAGTGCCCAGCAACCTGGAGCTGCTACTGCGGGTGAGGGCACTGCGGGCCCTCGGAGCGGCCTCTCCATCCCACGCAGGCGCAGGCTGGTCTCTTGGAGTCGGGATCAGGACTAGATGAGCTCACAGGTGGTGGGCGCCCCGGGGTTCCTCTCCTTTACTTCCCCCTTGGGCTGTTCCTAAATTCTTAGAAATGGAGGGAAGCTTTGGAACTGGCCGTGAGGGAAGTATGAGCCTCGGGGGCCACAGCCCCTCACCCATGTTAACGAGTGCGTCTGGCTTCGTGGGAGGCTGCAGGGGGGGCACAGGAGTCTGGACAATGGAGACTTGCGCCCCCAGGGGCTCTGCTGGAGGGCTGGGGGGCACCTGGGAGAGCCACGCACACCCCAGTTTGGACTGACCCCACAAAACCTCGGCCTTTTCTTCCGAGGGAACCCACCAGCCTGGGCAAACCAAGGCGGCAAAGCCCCGAGGACGACTGGAGAGCTGCCACCCCAGCGCCCGCTCCCCGGAGAGATGGGAGGAGACACAGGGCGTGTGCGACACTCACTGGACTGGGCTGCCAGACGCAGGGCGTAGTCGCTCCCGCTCAGGAACTGCTCTGAGATCCTCTCCCGGGGTGGGGAGCGTGGAGGAAGGGCGAGCTCCTCGTTGGTCAGCCGGATGCCCTTGGCCACCAGGAAACTCTCCCCCAGAGGGAACCAAGAATTGTTGGAAGCCAAGACCACCTCCTCCGTCTCCTTAACGAACTGCAGGACTCGAAGCTTCGCTTCCTCACAAGAGCCGGGACCTGGGGGCGTAGAGACACCGCAGACCGGCGCATCAGCACACGTGGCTCCCCGACCCCTCCGAAGCATGCACACGCATGCACATACGTGCACACGGATGTGTCTGCCTCAGCCGTTTCCTTCTCACCAGCTCTCTCCACAACCTAGACCGCCCGCCCTTCCTGTTTTGTCCCCACAACTTCATTCGCTCGAGATTCGTGGAGGACCAACCCTTAAGAGAGGACTGGTGATCGTGAGTGTCCGCCCCACACCAGGCACGGCCCTAAGCATGTTCACCCAGACAATCTAGTCTAACCCATGCGACAGCCGACGTCTGTGTGTGACTCTGAGGGTCGGCCCATTCCGAGAACTCGACGTTTTAATGGAGAACCCAGTGGAGGGGTCCCCAGGCCATTCCAAAGGCCCAGGGCATCCAGCTCCCATGGAGTGTTCTTGTCACCAAACGTCCTAAAAACCCACTGGCTGTTACAGCCTAAGTTTCAGCTGATGTCGAAATCGTCTGATTAATTTTAAGATCACCCAGAAAGGTGGGGGCGGTGCTGAACATCGCCACAAATGGGTGGAGAGATTCCAATGCACCTGTCACAGTAATGACACCTGTCACACCAGCCACGCTGGCTGGGGAGAGTCTGAGCTGGTAACGACCACGTTGAATCTGGCTGCTGGTGGTCTGAAACCGCGGCGGGTGTCTACTTGGTAACGAGGCACTTTAATCTGACGCCGTCTGCCTCATCTGTTTCCACCTCATACACCGCAGCTTTCCTACAAGTCCACTGTCCTTTAGTGAAGTTCCCTCAAGGAAAATAACGGCAAGGTGAAGGCAGAAGCACTTCCCGAGGTCCCGAGCACCCAGCGGTGCCCTGGTAGGTAACGAGACCATTGCACCGGGTGCCAGTTCACTAAACCGTGCGCCTGATCTCCGAGAGAGTCCAGAGCATCAGTCATGGAGGGTAAGAGCCGGGCCATATTCCCCTGAGAGCCGTCACCAGGCCTAAGAGAATGCTTTGCAATCAGAAGACGTCCAGTTAACATTTGGGGCCCTGGTGTAAATAATTATATGAAAACTTAGAACAGAGCTCCATTAGCTCTGCCAACCCCTCACCTCGCAGACGTGGGGAAATCGCTTCCCTTCTATGGCCCTCGCCGTTATGGGTGAATGTTTGTGTGACCCCAAAACGTATGTGTCAAAGCTCCAACCCCCGGTGTCATGGTATCTGAAGGCGGGAGCTTTAGGAGGTGATTGGGTTAATAAGGTGAGGTCACGCAGGTGGGTATAAAAAGATGAAGAGACCAGAGCACTGTATCTCCCATGAGGCTACACAGCAAGAGCGTGGCTACCTACAAGCCAGGACGAGGGCTGGCACCAGGACCCGAATCTGCCAGCACCTTGATCTTGGACTTCCCCCCTCCAGAACTGTGCGGAGTAAATGTCTGTGGGGTAAGCCGCCCAGTCCACGGTATCTGTTTTCAGCAGCCCAAGCTGGCATGCATTTGGTTTGCCCCGCCGTAGACCGAAGGGACGAACCTGGCCCCACCTCAACCCACATCCGGCTCTGGAACGCCGTGCCCTGCCGCCAGACACCCTTCCTCCAAAACACAAATCCCATACGTCACACGGTTTAACTCACATGCTGGGACCTTGCCCGGCTCGGTCCGGGTTCCGTCCAGCTCCTGACCAGTTCCGTCCACACACCAGCAGGTGCGAAGGTCAAAGTGCGCCAGAGGGGCACTGAAGTCTGAGTAGGGTCCTGGGTAGCGGCCGAGCTGGCCGCTGAGCATCTGCCAGAAGAGGTAGGGCTCCAGGAAGACACCCCCTCCGGGCTGGGTCCGGCTCCCTTCCAGCACCGCCAGCGGGACATCTTGGAGAGAAGGGTACCTCGCCAACTCCGGGAAGATGCCATGCTGGCCCGCCTCATACAGACTTTGAAGGAAGAGACGGAAGCTTCTGGAAGCCGCCTCTCGGAAGCTCCTGAGCTTCGTGAGCAGTTCGGTAGCGGGCAGCTCCCGGCTGGCGCCGCCGCTGTGAGCCCGCCACCGGTCGTACCACTCGAAGGCCTGCTCGCGGGGCCCGTCGCACTGCACCCGGCGCCACTGCCCGCCGGCGCCGCACTGGGGGACGTAGACGTCGGAGAGGGCGGAGGGCCTGCTGGAGTTGGAGGCCAGGGCCCGCGCCGCCCGCAGGAAGGCTTGCTCGGCCCGCAGCTGGCAGGGTGTGGGGCCTGCGGGGGACAGTGAATGCACGAGTCAGGTCAGGGCGTTGAAAAACACAGAAGATCAGGACACATGCCTGGGTTGCAGGCCATGACCCCCAGCAACCGCACATTGATGTTTCTCTCTCTCTCTCTTTCTCCCTCCCTTCCCTCTCTAAAAAATAAATAAAATCTTAAAAAAAAAAAAAAAGAAAAAAAAGCATAGAAGAACAAGATGGAAGCTTTTGACTGCCCAAACGCCATCCGACACCTTATGCAGCCACAGAGGCCATCCCGTCGGCACGGGGAGCCTCCCATCACTGAGCAGGTGCCACCGAGACCCACCGTTGTCACCACGGCAGACACGCACGTGGCAAAGCCTGAGGCCACATGCATCTGCCTACTCACCCCTTAAAACGTTTAACCTGATCGAGACCTCTCTGGGCAACTTCTAAGTCACCCAGAACATTTTGCCATGAACAGGAGTTTGTTTGAAATCTAGCTGTGCCTGAACTCTCTGTTCTCTGTGACACCTGGTGTCAGGGCCCCCGGAGAGAATCCGGGTTAGTAGATCGAGCACCCAGCAGACTTACATCGCATGGCTCGCCCAGGGCCACTCTGCGTTCCGGGGATGGCCTGGCCCTCGGCGTCCACACAGTAGCACATGGAGTCGAAGCACTGGACAGGCAAGAAGTCCCCCTGGCTGGTGCAGGAAGGCACGAACAGGCTGGACCCCGCAGGCTGGCGGCCCGAGAGGCTCTGCATCCGAGCCCTTTGCTTTTCACACTCTGTGGGGCACCGGGGCCGCCCGCCCCTGACCCTCGAGCCGGGCACTTCTTTGCCCCAGGAGTCCACACACCAGCACTCCCCAGCAAAACACTGGACGTCCGCATAGCTTCCTTCTGCCGTGCAAGACGGGACAAAAAGGCTGCCAGGCGCCTGCTCACAGCCCTGCGAGCTGAGCGCCACTTCCATCACGTCCCCCAAATCCCTGGCTATGTCTTCTGGCACAGAAACTGCATGTTGCAGGAAGAGGAGGAATTCTGGAAGGTCCAGGAGAGTAGCAAGGGATTTCAGGGCATTTTGGTTCTCTTGTAAGTTGACTTCAAAGCCAAAGCTGCCCACCACTGGCTTATTCATAGCACCGCCCTCCTGCGTGGCTCCGGGGGTCTCCGCAGCAGGACTCACATCCAACCCCACAGGCAGGGGTGTGGCCGGACCGACCAGCCCTCCCTCGCTCTGGAAGCCTGGGAGACCAAGTTGCTGGAAAAACCGACTGAAGTTAAAGGTGCCTCTTGTGCCAAGGGCTCCAGACAAGTTAAACTGGCCAGCATTCACCAAAAACTTCCCTCCAAACAGGTTTTGCTGGAGTCGCTCTGGGTTGGTGGTAAACCGAAGGGCGAGACGAGCCAGCTCGCGGGAGGGAAAAAGCATTCTGACGGCTTCTTGGAGGAGAGTCCCCGAGGCTGGGTACGGTGGATTCTGCCCTTGGACCATGGGCCGGAGGATCCCGGAGTCCACAAAGAGCTGCTGGATCCAGGGCAGGCACGGCGAGGCCAGGCCAGCTGCACCCCGAGAGGCCTGCCTTTCCCCGGGAGCCCAGGGCGGGCTGCGCTGGCCGGCGTGGCCCGAGGGCCCGAAGCGGAGCCGCGACAGGGCCTGCCGCCGCTCCGAGGTGCAGGACTGGTCCCCAGCTGCGCCGGACAGAGCAAACGGGAACACGGGTTTTAACATCGCAGGCAGCCCCGAGACAGCCCCTCGGGTCTGTCTGGTAGTAAGACGTCAGAAAACTCTGCCTTTTCCCCCTGTATCCTTTTACATTTAGCTTTCCCTTGGAGCCACGCCCTCGGAGGCCACCACGGGGAATGAGTTTTCCAGTGGACGGGACTTCCTCTCCCGGCTTCCACTCGTGGTGGCCCCCGTCCAAGGCCACACTCGTCGACATTGCCCCCTCTCTGAACACCTGACCACAGGCGCTGACTATGCGGTTCAGTGATGTCTCCCCACCATACTTCCCACCCGCCCACCCGCCCGCCCGTCATTCACTCATGCCCACTGGAACCTCGGAACGAGACCTGAGCTGGAAATAGGGTCTCGGCGGATGTGACTACTTGAGGCGAGGTCCTGCTGGATCACAGTGGGCCCCAAACCCAGTGACTCGTGTCCCGACGGGAGGGCCACAGAGGACACAGACAGACACACGGGGAGGGAGCCACATGAGGGCAGGGGCTGGGGGATAAGGAAGCACCGGCGGCCACCAGGACAGGGACAGGGCGAGGAAGCATCTTCCCCGCAGCTGGCAGAGAGGGCGCACGGCCCAGCTGCTGGCACCCTCATTCCAGACTCCCAGCCTCTAGAGCTGGGAGGGGAGGCATCTCTGCCGTTTCCTGCCGCCCAGCGTGTGGCCCTGCGTCACCACAGCCCTAGGGGACTGGTGCACCGACAGTCCCTGTGTTTTTAGGGCCGTGTGGCTGGCTTCCCAGCATTCTCCTGTCGGAATTCTCAACAGCCTTTAATGTTTCATTAGAGGCTGTTTGTGTGGCCGCCTAATTCTTCCCCGTGGGCAGTCTGGTCTCGGTTAACCAGTTTATAGTCTCTTTGAGGATAAAGGGCACACTTCCAATGCTTTCAGTATTCCCTATAATGAATATTGCTCTGTGTTGTAATATCTACCATAGGAAATATGGTATCTCCTATAATATAATGATGCACATTTGGCGAACACACTTAGCACATTCTTCCAGGCCTCTTGACCTTTCCCTGAAATTACTAATTAAATACTGATCAACTCAGTTAACTCCAAACATGGTTGGTTATTCTGTCCCCAAGTATACCCCAGGTGCACTGTAGTCACAGGAAGAAAAATTATTTTAAATTCAAATTCCGGCACCCCAGTTCGTAGGTGAAAGTAAGTCAGACCTGTTTCTCCCTGCGGGGCCGTGACTGTTGGAGGTTTGCGACCACCCACCACCCCACCTTCCTAGGGTCATTCTCTCCCTCGGTTCACACGGATGCCAAGCAGGAAGTCAGCCGACTTCCTCTGCAACCGGGCCACAGAGAAAGAACGGGGACGTGTGTGTGTGGTCATGGTCAGGGAGGGAGAGAGGGCAGCGTCAGGACACGTCGCGCGCCCCTCGGCGAGGCCAGGCCCCCTTCAGTGGCCGCTGCGGGAAGGCCTGGAAGAGCCACAAGGCGCTGCTTCCCAAGGCAGAGCACCCCCCACCCCCACGCGTGCGCGGTGTCACCGACGCAGAAACCCAGCTGCTGGTGCCACGTGGCATTCGTCTCCCCAGGCACAGGACTCGCGTGCCGGGGAGAAAAAGGAGAAATGTGGGATCCGTGCACGAGGTGGGAGCACCCTTCGTTTTAATTTGGAAGCCTGCAGCTTTTCATGTCCGCCTGAAAACTGGAGGGCGCCATATTCTGTAGGCCCTCATGGAATTACGATGTGACCGTAAACACCTTCAAGGCAGAACGTCTCATTTTTCTTTTCCTAGATCCACACCCTTAGCAGCGAGCTACTAGCAACCAGTGTAGAATGCCCAGCACGTCGGGCTGCAGAAATCACATGACTTGAGGGTTTGCTGGGTGCACACCAACGCCCACCTAGAGTAGCTGAGGCTACAGGCAGACCTGCATTCCCCACCGGTTTCGAGCCTTGCTGCGGTCTCCCAGTCTGCCCCAGCAGGACGCCCGCAGCGCCCCTGGGTTCCGTCCTGCGAATCTGACTGGCAGCACCCCTTCGAGACCTACGGGGACGCCTAGCGCCCTTCCTTCCTCAAGCCCGCACCCTTCTCCCCAGCCCACCGCCGTTTCCTCAGCACGCGGTCCCTGGGCTGGGCTGGGCTGGAGAGTGTCTCCCCAAACTCCCGCCCTTCCTGCACCTCAGAACGTGATCTCGTTTGGAAATGGGGTCCTCGTAGATGCAATTAGATAAGAGGAGCTCACACTAGAGTGGAGAGGGCTCCTAGTCCTATACGATGGGGGCCGGCGCAGGAGGAGGAGGAGGAGAGACGCAGAGGCAGACACAGATGATAAGGGCAGAGTTTGGAGGGATGCGGCCACAAGCCAAGGGGTGTCGAAGGCTGTCAGCGGCCACCACGAGCTGGGAAGAGGCTGGGGAGGAGCGCCCCCTGGAGGCTGCAGATGGAGCCTGCCCTGCCGACACCTTGATTTTGGACGTCCAGGCTCCAGGACATGGAGGAGATATGCTCCTGCTGTCCTAGGCCACTCCTTTGTGCACTTCATTACAGCAGGAACGTCCCACGGTCCCTGAGCCCAGTTTAGGACAGTGCACTGACCTTCGATGCTCCTCTCAATCTTTCCTCCAAACTCTCTTACCCACAAAACCCAGCACGGGACTCGCCAGCTTAAATCCCCTCGACCTTCTCACCTGCCCCCGGGATGAAGCCCCTAAGCCTCTGCTTTCATATGAAAGACCTCAATGTCTTACTTAGCCTTGCCTTTCCCCCATCTTCAAGTTCAAGGCCCCAGCCTGAGGATGCCCCAACAGCTTTTCCCTCTATTCTTCTCGCAGACCCAGGGGCCATCAGCCAATCAGTGTGGTCTCCTGTCTACGTCCTCATGCCTTTGTTCCCCCTGCTCTCCACAGAGAGCTCACCCGTCCTTATTTTCCCCCTCCGGGAAACATCTTTATTTCAGAACACGAACCGAGCATCACCTCTTCCACGAAGCCTTCCTGAATATCCCCTTTTCAGACACTCGGGGAGACAGAATCGACCCCCCTTGCTCTGGGCTGCACTCCTCTCTTCTTCTGTACGTGTGAGGCCCTGGGTAAGGGCTGAGCTCCCTGAGGAGGAAACTACGTCTGGCACAGGACAAGACGCGTGCTAGAAGTTAATGATAAGAAGTGCGTTTTCCATCATGGCCAGCTCGAAGGGCCTGTGGGGTATCAGAGCTCCCAGGTCCCGGAGTGAGACCCCCGACGGAAAACCCACCGCAGGTTGGCAACCGGTCCTGGCGCCGCGTCCCAGCGACCTCCGTTCCCTGCGCGTCCACGCACCAGCACGGCCCCGCCCTCTGGCACTGCGCAGGCTGGTAGTCCCCGCTCCGGAGGCAGCTGGGGATGTAGGGGTGGCCGAAGTTGGTCGCTGCAAACCGCTCCACTTCACATTTGGTGGGGCCTGGGGGAAACCCGGGCAGCAAAGAGAAGTCAGTCGATCGCTCTTGCTGACCTCCCAGGCGGCCCTCTGTCCGCTGGGAGCGCGGTCCTGCATCCCCGCCCCCACTTGGCCGGAACAGCCCGGCGGAGACCGCCGAGGCGACTCTAAAACCCAAATGCTTTCCTCCTGGCAGAGGCGCGCACACGTGTTGTCGGCTTATTACTCACATCGGAACCTGCCAGAAAGCACTAGCTGGACTGCCAGGAACCGTCTGTGCAATATCCGGTACAGGGTGGTTTCGGTGAAGGTGGCAGCGAGGTCCAGGCCGGCGAAAATGGTGTCGTAAATTTCGTCCAGCAACAGCTCCACACCTGAGCGAAGACAGCAAGCGGTTCAAGGCACACCCCGCTCCAAAAGGAAGTCCTGATGTCGTCCCTTAAACGGGTATGAAGAGGGGCGGGGCCTCCACTGGCGTCACTGCGCAAGGGGTCTGAACCAGCCTTGCGCGGTTCCCGGTTCCCGAGTCAGGGCTGCTGCGTGCGGCTGCGCAGGCCGCTCAGGACACGGGAATCGGGCCCATCTTCCACCTGCCAACTCAGCGCTGCGTCTGCCAGAAGGGGGCGCCTCTCTCCCGTGCACGCCAAGGCTCCCCCTGGGCCAGAGCAGCCCCATTCACAGCACCATAGATGGAAGGACTGGCTAGCCATGCCTCTTGGACACCCACGGCAGCCTGGCTGCGGAGCGGGCCCACACCGTGACCTCTGCCCTGCAGGTGACCAGGCTGAGGCTCTCGGGCCTGGTGCGTGCCACTCCTCCGCCCAGACGGGGCTCACCTGTCTCAGCCAGTTCTCGCCCTTGGCTGTCGGCACAGTGACAGTACCCAGACACCTCGGGGAACCTGCTCCGGAAGGCTCTGAACGTCACGAACGCATCTGGAAACCTGAAAGGGGAGACCGATGGTCACCGCGTCCTAACAGGCAACTCCTCACGAGTCCTCCCCGTGCAGATACAGGAACATGGCACCACCTCCTCTGGGGACAAGGAATGTCTGATTCTCCAGCTCCTGCCATTCACTCCAGGCTTCCCGTGGTCAGCGCCTTCCGTCCCTAAACTGCTTTAAACTGGCCAGAGCGAGGCTGGCCCCTGCAAGTGAAGCTGTGCTTCGCAGCCCTCAACTAATGAGCCGTTGTCTTCAACCTTGGCCTTCGACCGACTTATACCCAAGCACGTGTCTCCTGGGATCAAGCAGAAAACAGGTGATGGACATGGCCTTCCCTCGTCCCTTCTAGAATATAACTAGAGACGGAGGCCAAGTTTGCCTCGCAACCTCGAGGAACATCCCATGTACTCTCTCCTTCGGGAGACCAAAGGACTTCCGAGCCCTTTACAACTTGTCCAGGAACTCGAGGAGGAGCCAGATTCCCCCACAGGAGATTCCTGAGCAGGACATCTCCCAGTGCCACAGTCTGAAACACACACAGAATCAGCGTGACCTGGCTCACAAGGGCCACGCGGCCTTCCCAGAAGTTCAGGAGAAGTGCACCTAACTTCTCAGGTCTGACCTGGCGAAGGCCATCAGGAGCTCCTTGGAGGGGGTGGGGGGCTCCCCAGCCTGGACGTGATGGGAAACGAGGCGATGTACAGCCACAGGAAGGCGCGTTCTTCCCGCGGGCGGCGGTTTAGCCGCCAGAGGGGCGTTGTTCGGCTTCATACGTACAACAGCGGGAGGTCTGCTGTTCTGCCCTGCGCAGCCAGGTCGGGAGACCCAAGCCTCACACGTCTCCCCCTCCACGTGGAGACACCCCCCCAAACGGTACGGGGGAGAGGTGGCAGCTCCCCACACAGAGACGCCTGGCGCTGTGGAATCTAGTCTAGCAAACTACTGAGACGACATTTGCGTCCGATGACAGGAAAACTCAGAAGGGAATGACAGTGCATCCCCTCAGTGGTGTGTACCCAGCATCACGTATAAAGGACAGATGCAAATGCAAAGTGGCCAGGACACACCACTCGCTGCGCGACCACATGCTGCTGCGACCACTATGTAAATGAGCCAGATGGGAGGCAACACCTCCGTGCAGACACCGCTCAGAGCCCGAACACGCAGCGCAACAAGTATTCAGTAATTTGAATGCACATGAATATGAAAAAAAAAAAAAGCCTAGGAAAGCGCTACAGAATTAGGGATTTTTCCCACGTCGCTGGTCTATTACTGTGTGTACGTGAGTTAAATACAAAAGAATATTCTAGTAAGTGAGTCATGCTTAGTAGAAGCTAAAATCTCACTTTGCTCAATTGCCATGGATTGGAGGTATATGATAAACGTTCGTTAATTGGAACCTGGGATAATTAAATTCTAACAGTAGTCTTAATACCGTAAGAATTACTTGCATGTATTCAGCCACTACTTTGCAAAATGTTTGATATGCATTGACGTGTTTAATGCAACTCACATGCCTAAAAGGCAGGTGGTACTTTTCCGTCCCCATTTTCAAGGGCATCTGGAAATAGAGGTGGGAGCTAGGGCGCAAACCCCAGTCTTGGGCTCCGTCCGGGACACGCCTGTGCCTGCCGCCGGCGCTACCCAGGGCGTGTTCGGCAGCACCTGGCTCCCGCCCCACAGCCTCTGTTCCGTTCTGACACTCTTCTCCATACGCCTGACACCCAGCTTTCCCTGGCCCCCAGCGTATGAAGACCTGCACGCCGGATAAAGGCACAGATGGGTGACCTGGCTGGCCAGAGGTTCTGGAACCCGTTGCAGCGCGAGGCACAGGAAGTCAAAAGCACTCTCGTCCCCCGTGCTGCTCATTCCGCCCACAGGCCCAGCTCCACGCCCCGTCCCAGGGCCAATGGGGCCAGCAGGGTCCTGGAGCCATCTTCATCCCCGTGCCCTAGGGTCCGAGTCCCTCTCTCTGGGGGTCTGGCCTCGTAAGCTGCCCTGCACCGGGCCCTCCCTGTGCCCGCCCTATGGGCACGCCCCCCTTCGTGTGTACTGGAGAGCACCATGGCTTCGGCTAGAGGAAGGGTCTTCCCATCCTCCTGGGAAGACCATCTTAAGGCCACCCACCACCACCTGCCCCCTCCTCGGGCTGGCCTCCCCGCCCTCTGGGGCGCACCCTCTGCACCGTCATCTTTAAGCCCTCCTGGCCATTCTGTGCACAGTGAAGAGAGCGAAGAACTGGAGCCAGGCACACTAGCATCGCAGTCCTGGCCTGACCAGCCTGAGTTCAAGCTCAGACGGTGGCAGGCCTGGAGGCAGAGGAGTCACTGATAAGGCTGCAAAGCATGTAAAATGTCAACGCCAGCCAGGACTCTGGGCCTGCCCATTGGCTCAGACAGCTGCCCCCCCCCCCACCATCCCACCACTGGGTCAGATTCTCCAACTCCTCCACAGATAGTCCCCCCAGAAATCTAACCATCAACTAATAAATGAGCAATGTGCTTGCTTCCCTCCTGTACCAGAGCAGCTCTCCTTACGACAGCAGCTGGTGCCTGGTGCACAGACCCCCTAGGCTGTCTCATGGGAGGGCCACCTGACGACCCGTCTAGCAGGACCTCTCCCCTCAGTCACTCACATTCAGGTTACAACACCCCTCACCCTTTTCGCCGACGGATCTGGATAGCAGGGGCTGCCAAGGCCCGGGAGGTGAGACTGGTTACCAGGGCGGTTTGAGAGAGCACAGTCCCTAAGGACAAGGGCTGCTTTTTTAAAAAACCCAATGAACTGAATTTAAATTCAGATCGCGAAGGCCTTGGTAATGGCAGTAGCTCTTAACACCCTTACCTACCATCTGCTTAGCCGGAATACATTTCCCTAATTTCAGTGTTCGGGCAAGAGCCTATGAAAGGGAGGGAAGAGTCAAAAGAACTAGCAAAGCTTATTCCCCAACACGGCAGGGTTTTTTAAAAGTCACCAGCCAAACAGGTAGGGGTAGCAGCGGCCTTCTTCCAGACGCAAAACGACCTGCTTCAAACAGGCAAATACTATGGCCAAGTTCACGTTTAAGGCATCACCCACAACGGGTGGGCCAATGAGCTGCCCACGGGCTCCCATCCCCCCGGTGGGCCCCTGGAAGGAAGTCAACCGCCTGACGCCACTTCTCCATTTGGATTCCCTCCCAGAACCCCCTCAGATTCAATATCCCGAAATCCAACGTGAGACTTCTCCTTTCCAAACTCCTCGGCTACTCTCCATCTGGAAACCAGGCCTCAGAGTCGCCCCGGACTCCCCCTCTCCCACAGGCTCCCTCTCTGTTCCTCCGCCAAGGTCTGTGGGTTTCACCCCGCCCTCCACCCCCTCTCCCATTATCCACGCTGCTCCAAGTCCCCCCTCTCACCAGGCCCGGTCCAGTAGCCCCCGCGCGCCCAGAGGCGCCTCCCAGCACCCTCGCGGCTTTCCCCAATCCAAGTCCATTCTTTTCTAAATCTAAGGAGGATGATTATTAAGATTTTCCCAACCCCCACCCCAGGCTTCAGATTCTTGGTACAGTCATGGGGAGGGACACACTTATACTAAAGAAATCACTCCTAGCTTACCGGAATTCAAATATAACTGGCCATCCTGTATTTTTTTTTCTTAAATCTGGCAGCCCTAGGTGCTGAGTCTAGACTTCCCAGGCGGCCCCCACCGCAGCTGCCGCGCTGCTGTGGTGGTGGAGTCCCTGGGCCTGGCACGGCCCAGGTCTGCTTATCAGAAAACTCCCCAGTATGCCTGGGCTTCCAGGAACCAGCTACCTGACCCTTCCCAGGACCTTCCTAAATCAAAACCTGCTCCGAGGCATGCTTGCTTACAAAAAAAGGAAAGGATCCCATTTCAGAACAATGTAGCCTTAGTCCTGAACTTTTGCATTTAACTCCACTGCCCTCTTGTGGAAGGAGCTGGGAATTGCGTCTCAACCTGGCACCTGCAAAGTTCTTTGATGCTTAGATTATGAGCATTAATTGTAGGCCTACTCTGTGCAAGGCTCTGCGCTATGCACTGTAGGGGAAACAGAGGAATCAAGGTTGTGCAGGATATTAAAGGACACCAGACAGCCCTAGCACCCACTGAGTGCTCTTCTTAGGGCGAGTTCCTTAACCTCTGGTGTTTCAGGTTCATCTGTACGCTAGAGACCATAATTATCCATCCAGTTATTTTTCTAAGTATTAACCTGGGCTGAAGGATGTCAAATTCCCTGTCTGTAGAAGCACTCACTTAAACTTAAACTGAGCACCAAAGAGCCCCAGTTACTCAGACTATTTGGAGATTTGTGTGTGCTCACAGACAGACCCTTTTCTGCGCCTGGGAGTGGAGGTGGGGCGAATCTAACCTGCATTTGCTAAAGCTGAATTATGCCTAATAACTTCCCCCAGATGCATAACGCTTCTCCATGGTCACAGTGGTCTCTAGAGGGATTCCATCCTATCTTCACCCTGCCCTAACGGGCAAGGAGCTGTGTGCACTTTACAGATGCCCGGGGCAGGGGAGCAAGGCCCCAAGAAGGCACGTGACTAGGTCCCTTTGCCAAGCAGTGTCACAGCCCAAATGGGACCAGGCAGAGATGGATAGAGCAGACCAGAGTAATATAGCAACAGGCCCCGGCAGCCCCCCCAGCCCTGACTTGTGCAGGGCGTCCAGAAGGAGCAGTTCAAGCCCCGTTTCCCTGTGCTGGGGGCGGGGGCGGGGGGGGGGCAGAACACATACAGCCTCCCACCTGGTTGTTCATAACGGGAGTTCCGAGTTCTGCACATCAGGCTGAACAGACGAAACTGCTGATGCTCACAGCCCTAAGGACCCCCCTCGCGCACGGGGAAAGACACCGGCTGTTTGGAAGCTAGTTTCCAAAGGCTTGGGTTCCCCAAGAGAATTCCTGTCCGTGTTCTCAGCCTAATAGTCTTTACTTTTGTCACGGTCGCCCTCACCCTTGGGGGACGCGTTCCAAGAACCCCGGTGGGTGCCCGAAACAATGGAGAGTGGCAAACCCAACCTACACATACGGTTTTTCCTGCCCATACACTCCTATGATGAAGTTTAACTTGTAAATTAAGCACAGTAAAATATTAACACCCATGACTAAGACAATATAACAATTATGATACACTGAAATAAAAGTTACGTGAATATGGTGTCTCTCTCGATATTTTACTGGACTGTACCTACCTTTTCACTGAAAGGCAGTACTTGACGGCTTCTCCATGGCATACCTGAATTGCCAGCATCGCTATTCTTGCGCTTTTTGACCATTAATAAATAAAACCAGGGGTCCGAGAACCCAAGCACTGCGACAGCGCGACAGTGCGACAGTGCCCGCATCTCCATCACCAAACCGGCTCCCGCGTGACTACGGGCAGGCGGAGTGTCCGCAGCGGGAAGACGCGGAGACGCGGCGACGCTGGACGAAGGGATGATCGCGTCCGAGCAGGACTCGCGAGATTTCACCCTACGACTTAAGACTGTCGCGCGATTTAAGCTTATGAACTGCTTATTTCAGGAATTTTGCATTTAATACTTTTGAGCTAAGGTGGACCTTGGGTCACCGAAGTCACAGAAGGTGAAGCTGCAGATAAGGAGGGGCGGGTGTTCTCAGGGCGCTTCCGTCCTCCCTGCCGCCCCCGCGGGCCCTTTACCGTACCGAAGCCGCCGTCCTGAACACCCTGAACAGGCTGATCTGATTCCTTGGGCCGAGATCCTCCACCCTGCATCTCCCCTCTGACCCTTGTTATTGAAATCCTTAAACTTAGCTCTAAGTGCATGCATACACACAATTTACCAAAGCAAGTATAAATATGATCACAGCACCGAGTTTTTTTCTTTTTCCACCCATTTCCTCCTCCTCAGCAGCCCTGACCCTGCCGGTGCCCGTGACCGACACCCAGCGGTGCTTACTCGTCCCCCTCGGCGCTCGCCTAGCTCTGTGCAGACAGCAGCACGGTCACGTACCCGGGGGTGCACATACAGGGGTCCACCGGCTTGTTTGTTCACTAAAGATGAACTCACATCCCATGGTCTGTGCCACGCATCCTATTTCACGCCATCGCACCAGGCTGCAGAACCCTCTCCCCGTCCACCAGTGCGATTCCAATGCGTTGTGTTTCACGCTGCGTTATGTATTTATGGTGGGTGTTTCAGGCGGCTCAGTCACTCTGTTTCCCAACAGTTTTCCCCTGCCGTGAAAACCAGCGCAGGAGACACCCCAGTGCACGCGTCCGCGGATTCTGGCTGGGCCTGAGGGTTCCTGTGTCTGTAGTTTCGCATAGCTGTTGCCAGCTTGCTTTGTTAAAAATGCTGCTGTCACCCCTCAGCTTGTAAGAGTCAGGCCTCTGTCAGTTCCCTCCCCACCAGGCCGCGTATGTGACGCGTCACAGCACCCAGCCCCAAGGTGGATGCGAGCCCTGGCTGGCGATGAGAAAGGACAGGCCAGTGACGGGCACGCCCCGAGGCCAGCCCGCCTTACCTGTTGTAGCTGTGCAGCAGGTCGAAAACCATCATGTCCGTGGTGTTGACAAACTTGCACTGGACGGGCAGAAATCCGCCGTCCGGGGAACACTGGGGCGGCGACTTGTCCCCCACCCCGTGGAGAAGGCGGCGGTTCCTTATCTCACAGCTTCCCGGACCTAAACATTCCCAAAGACAAGCGTTCCCTTCGTGCACACGAACCGGTGCAGACGCTTCTGCAGTCTGCAGACATGCATCCGTGCTGTACACGGGACAGCTGGACACCCAAATAGGGATCAAGGTCATGGAAATCCTGCTTCTGCTTCTAAGAACCAGCCAGCGAACAGTCCTCATCTACCCGATGGAGATACTACACGTGCTAAGATCCTCCTTCAAGGCTTTGATCCCTGTGCTGGGTCCTCTGCCTTGCGGTTGCAGTGGGGAATGCTGCACTACCACCCCCCTCCTCCCCGGGGAGCCGGGACCCGGTGACACTCACATCTCGTGGGCCTCCCCGGCTGGCGGGTCCCATACACCTCCATCCCCTCCGTGTCCACACACCAGCACTGCTCCCGCCGCGCGTCACACTGCACAGGCGCGTACGCCCCCGAGTCCTGACACTGCGGGAGGTAGGTGGCGGCCGTGCCGTTGAGGTAGCCACTCAGCAGGACTTGCTGCTTCTGGAGCTGGCAGAAAGACAGGCCTAAGGGCGGGAGGAGCGGCGTCAGGTCTCGGCCTGGGAGAGCTCAGCTGCCTCCCTGGACGGGGGAGGTGGCCCTCTCCGCAGCAGAGAGTTGCCACCAGGCCGTGGACGCTCCGTGAGCAGGCGGCAGGCTCAGGGCCAGCCTTCTGACTGACCGTCCCCCTTTATCCCAGGAAGGGCCGCTTTCATCCCGCCCCACAAGCCTCCGGGACACCCCACTGCCCCGCTGCTGCAGAGGTGGGTGGGAACGGAGTCAGGCCTGGCTGTCAACAGAGCTTGTCTGGGTCCGATTTTCCCCATGGGCTTGCTGTGCAACCTCGGGGGAGTTGCCTCACCACTCTGTGCCTCACTCTCCTCCTCTGTAGAACTGAAAATACAACTGCCCTCTTCGGCTACAGGAGGGTTAGTGACATGAGCAACACTGCGCCCCTGTTGAACAGGCACCGTGTGCCTGGTGTTCCACGTGTGTGTTAACCCCTCACGCGCCCTGTGAGGCCGACCCTGTGTTCCTGTTACAGACGAGGAACCATAGCGCAGTGCGGGCATGTGGGCCAGCCAGCGTCTGCCAGCCGGAGCGCCGGGAGCCACCGGCTGGGGCACACCGGAGCCCAACACCGAGCCTTTCCCTGGTGGAGGCTTGCTCGGCTCTAGGCTCGATTCCACCGTTCAAAGGTGGCCGCCTTAAGCGGACCTTGGTTTAGGCTTAGCTGTGCCATGCTCTACATGGGGACTGACTGTGTTCCTTCGACCACTCATCACAATCATCGTGTTAACAGGGAAGCTCTAGATCTCAGGGACACCTCGGGGGAGAACACACGCGGTGTGTACCCAGCGGCCCCCTGCTCAGAGGCCTCAGATGTCTGCTCACCGCGGTGTCCTCGGCGCCAGGCCCAGCCCCCGGCACGTGGGGGCTCAGCAGCTCTTTGCCGAGCAGGCGACCTGACTGTCCCACTCGATTTCACTCACAGGAGCCCTGCAGGACACGGGCCTCGGCTGCAGGACAGCCAGCCTAACTCAGACAGACAGACGGCCAGCAGCCCGGAGGGGCACCTGCCCGCTCAGGTGACGAGCCCAATGCTCTCTCCCAGATGTGTGTGGTCCTAGCAAGCTCCCCCCTTCCCGTGGGACAGCCCCGTCCCCCCCTTCACACTTACACGCCACGGGCCGCCCGGGCTGCCTGCTGCCAGGCACCTCCCTGCCATCGGCGCCCACGCACCAGCAGGAGCGGCCGTCACTCCTGCACTGGACGGTCCTGCGGGCAGGAGAGGCACAGCTGGTGGACAGGGCTGGGGGTTCCCGAGGCCGCGGCCCAGGTTGCCTTCCCTCTGTCCCTCCAACCTCCCAAGTGTTAATTCACGTACATTAGGGAGGGGTTGGAGTGGAGGGGGCGGGGCTTGGGAAAGGGAGAGGACTTCTTTCCCATCCTGCCGACCCCCGAAGCCCTGGTCATTCATCCCCCTGCTCCATCTGCAGGCCCTGTAGCAAACGCCTGTCCTGGGGTGCGATGCTGCAGCCACGTGGAGGCTGCAGGTGGCACAGGCAGGGTCCTTCTCCATGGACCGGAGGTGCGGATACCCCGTGGGGGGTCAGAGAGCAGGGCCCCGGTTACAGTGACCCAGGGAAGCACATGCCTGGGGTTCCCCAGGGGGCCTCCCAGGGGCAGCGATGGCTGTACTGAGCCGGGGAGTAATCAGATGTTACAAGAGGAGTTTCAGGTAAAGAGAGTAGGGTAGGCTTGAAACCACGAGCGGCTAGAACCAGGGAAACACTACATAAATGAGGCCAGTGACGCGGCGAGCCATCCTGACTTTCCCGCTGCCCCAGAACCCCCAGGGGGCCGAGCAGGCCCCGCTGGACAAGAAGCATCACTAGCCTCTGGGGCGCATGTGCGAGGGTTGATAAGCGCATTTGGGTGTCTATAAAATGGAGCAGGGAGGACTGTTCTACATTGTCTCCCAGATGGCAGTCCTCCAGAGGGAGTCCCCCAAGTTCAAGGTGACTGGAAGAGCCTGGGAAGATCCATCAGATTTCAGACAAAGGACTCCTGTGTATTCCCCGGTGGTGGTGGTGGTATTTAGCTCGCCATTCCACTCGACAGGGAGAAAGTCCGGGACCCAAGTTCATGATGGGGCAGTGGAAAGGCCCTTTCAGGGGGAGCTAACTGGGGACCCAGCAGCCACCGGCCTGAAGTCCAAGTGGCTTCGGTTCCCTCCACCTCTGGCTTCTTGAGAGACTAAGAGGAGGAGGGGAGGCACCAAGGCGTGAGCCATTCGATCCCTCACACCTGCTATTAAAGGAATCACAGTAAAAGTTCTGGCAGAAAAGGGAGGGATGCCCTGGTCCTCCTGGCTGGGAAGAAGCATGGATTGGGGCGCTCTGGGCCAGCCCCTCCAGGGCTGATTAGGGGAACCGAGAGGCGTCCCTCCTTGTGGCAGTGGCCAAGTCTCAGTACAGGGAGGAGAGGGGAGGGCACAGCCCCGGGGCAGGGGAAATGAGATGATTTCACGTGGCCTCTCAAGACCAGAGAGCCCACGTGGCCATGGCCAGCGTAACCCTTACTGGAAGCTGCCGTCCTCAGCGCACTGGGGAACGTAGTCCGCTCGCCCCTGGAAGGCCCTCTCCCTCTGCAGCTCGCAGGGGCGAAGGGGCTGGGCGTCCACCTGGTACTCTGCGGAAAGACGAGGGACTCGTCAGACAAGGGTGTGGCCCGGACTCCAGGCACAGAGACGGGGCCCCTTCGGCACAAACCCCCTTCGGGCTCTTGTTTCTGGCATTACCCGCCACTGCGTGCCCACCTGCACTTGCGCAACTATTCGCAGTTTTCCCAGCATGACATTAGCTCGTTTAATGCTCAGCACACCCCGTGGATGGGGGCAGAGGGGCGTGTTTGTCCACGTGACACCGAGGCGGGGACAGAGAAAGTTACCTGCTACAGGGCCCCCTGCTGGCAATGGAAGGATTCAGAACAAACGCCTGGACTGCCTGTTCCCACCCCCACACCCCCACACCAGCCCCACCGCCACCAGCGGTGGCTGTGTTAGGTCCGAACACCCCATAAAGGGGCTGTTCCTGAACTTCTCATCCCTCCCTGCAGACGGAGCCGCTGCCTGGCACAGGGTAGAAATACAAATTAGTTAGAGCGTCTCACGTGTCCAGTTTTCACTGAGAACGCAAGAAACGCGTGGGGCTTGCTCAGAGATCACAGCCGCATCAGCCTAGCGTCACCGGCTTCCTTTTCCGGGGAGGGAAGGGGCCTCAGACTCATGCAAGGTCACACGCAGTAAGTGGCTGCGCCAACCAGAACGTAGGTCCACAGACAGGTTTGTTCCTCCCTGCCGGCTGGCCATTCAAATCCCTCTCCTGAACGACCTTGACCTTGAGATAGCTAGGGAAATTTTTTTTTAAAAAGTCAATGTCAAAAACTGGCTCACTGTGGGGTGCGAGGAGTTAGAATCAAACGAGGAAGATCTCACTTCCCATCTTCTGTCCACCGAACACTAGCTCTGTGACCTCAGACAATTGAGTCTCTTCCTCGGTAAAGAAAAGAGCAAAACACCAGCACCCAGGGGATATCGCAGGCAGTCGGCGAGATCACAGGTGTTCACAGGCCCCGGGTGGAGCCTGGCCGGCTGATCTCGGAGCTCTGGCCTGAGGGGTCCCCCCTCCTCCCGCTCCACGGCCGCTGTGGGCTGAGGGCTCACCGAAGATGTTGGCTGACACCATGCAGGCAGCGCCCAGCAGAGGGAAGACCCACAGGGCCAGCGCCATTCTTCCGGGCCCTCCTGGGGGTGAAGGGATGGACGCTGTCCTGCCCCAGCACTCTGGCCAGGGAGGCTTTATGGAGCTGCGGCGCCCTCCCCACTCCCACCCCACCCCGCCCCGCTCTCAGGGAAGCAGCACCGCCCTGTTCTCTCCGCGGGTCACAAGGGCCCCTCCGCCTGCCCTGCTCCCTGAGGACACTCGTGTGGCCAGTGGGGCATGAAAATCCTGCAGAGTAAATCTTGCAGTGGGGGGCAGAATTGGGGTGGCTGGCTTCAAAATTCATCTTCGTGTAAAAAATTCAGACCTCTGTGGCTGTGTGGGCAACAGGCTCAGGGCAACTGGGAAAACGGCAATCCCTCCTTCCCTCCTTCCCTCCTTCCCTCCCTCCTTCCCTCCCTCCTTCCCTCCCTCCTTCCCTCCTTCCCTCCCTCCTTCCACCAGTATTTACTTAGAGCCCGACAGTAGCAGACACTGCGCAAGGCAGTGAGGTGAGGGCAAGGCAGAGAACAAAGGCAGAATCAGTGATACACAATGGAATACTACGTACGCAGCAGAGAGAAAGAAGGAGCTCCTACCCTTTGTGACTGCGTGGATGGAACTGGAGAGCATTGTGCTCGGGGAAATAAGCCAGACCGTGAAAGACAAATACCTTATGACCTCACTTATAACTGGAATCTAATGAACACAATAAACTAACGAGAAAAATAGAGCCGGAGACAGGGAAACATGGAACAGACTAATAGCTGGGGCGGGGGGGCAAGGTGGGAGGAAGGGGGAGGGACTAGTCGGAGAACACGTGCGAGGGACCCGTGGACATGGACAGTGGAGCAGGGATGGACTGTGGGCCAGAGGGGTGGGCCGGGTGGAGGGGGGCAAAAGGGCGAAAAGAAATCGGGACAACTGTTAATGGAAGAAACAATTAAATGACGTAGGTTTTCCTCATTGAGAAAAAAAGCAGAGAGTGTAAGAACTGTTGCGAGCAGGGCCAAGTGCGAGTGCGCGCAGGTTCCGGCCCCTCCCCCTGCCGCCCCTGCCCCGACCTCAGACACCTCCAGCCTAAAGGGCACGAGAGCTACGTCTCCCGTGCAAAGTCTCTACTCCAGCGTGCTTTCTCTTAGCACAGCCAGCGTCCTCCCTTCACTCCTGCCCCTGCGTGCCCTGGCGAGATAGCCCCGTGCCCCTGAGCCCCAGACTCCTCCTGGAGAAAACAGAAATAAAAAGAGAACGATAATGGGTGTCTACTTGCGAGGGAGGCCGCGGGGGAATAAATGGGACATTGGGGAGTGTGTGCCCAAGAAATGCTCGTTGTGACTATTGATGTCGTCCTTTGCCAATGACCCTGTGCCAGGGCATGACCGGTACATACGCAGAAGAACCCAGCAGGGTGGGGGGCCAGTGACAGGTCGGGACAGGCAGGGGGTGGTGGGCAAGCAAAGAGGATGTGGCACTTGAGCGGAGACAAAGGGCGACAGAATCTGGAGGGACATCATTCAGGGGAGAGGGGAGGGCAGGGGACAGGCTGGGAGGCGGGGCCCGCTCCGCTCCAGGGAGAACCATGAGGGAGACTTCACCACAGCACAGAGGGCTACACCATGGAAGGGGGTGCTTAGGTATTGCGAGAGTTAACACTGGTAAGGCGCTCAAAACGGTGCTGTGTGTAAGTACGCGGTATTGGTTACCGTCTCAATTCTGTGTGCATGATACAGACTACAGAAAGTAAAACTCAACAGTTATTTTCACTGACAGGTATAGGATTGAAATCAGGTGAGAAGCCCTGCTCCGCACACCCATCCTGAGGAATCACAGCAGCCCACAGCTCCAGCATCTCCAGCTCCGGCTCCAGCACCAGCTCGACTTCTCTGCCTCGATGCTTCACAGGCATTTCAAATTCAATGCATCCCAAGTGGGACTTCCCGACACTTGTAATGCTGCGACACCTGAATGTCACTGCTGTCTCTAGGAGGAAACCTGACTCTGCCATCTGAGACCTCTGCCCCCCATCATACCAGCTTCAAAATCCTACCAGCAAGCCCTATGCCCAAGGCCCATCCCTTGGGCACGGGCCTTCCTCTGCAGCCTCGCTGCCCCTGCCTCCTTCAGGCCCCCACCTCCAGACTAGCCGACGAGCACAGCCTCCTACGCGGCCTCCCCGCCTCACACCCTGGCCCTTGCCAGGCTGCCCCTCCAGCTGTAGAGGCGGGGAATGGAGACACACTTCTCGGGTGCTCAGGAGGGAGCACGGGCAGGTCTTGGTGACCATGTAGCCATGGGGCGGAGGCATAACTAAGAAGGAGACTTAGATTTAGGTGGTTTGAGATGTGTTGCATGTGCTGGTAAAGACGACACGAGAGGCAGAACTCCCTCCGCCCGGTGCCCCAGCTGCCCAGGCCAAGTTGCACCCCATGCTGTGGGAAGCCAGCAGCCTGTCTTCACTGTAGCAATGGAACAATGGTGGGCTATGTAACAAGCCCACCCCGAAGTGCATGCACAGAGCTGGCACAGGTCAGCCTGTGCTGAGTCATCCTCGCTGGCCCAGGAAGGAAGCAACAGAAAGGCATCAGCAGCTCCTGCTCCGCTGCGCCAGGGGTGGGGGGCTCCGCTCCACTGGGTTTGGGGACACGGGATTCACAGCCCTGGGGTGAAGAGAGCTGTGAGGTCACAGAGCTGCAGAGGGTGAGCTGTCTGCACTTCAGACTGCACCTGGAGGAGGGCAGTGCTCGGACAGCTGGGGCAGCCAGCACGCTCAGTGGGCCAGAACTGCAGGCTCCCGGGGTGCCACAGCAGCACCCGGAGCCCCCGGGAGAGGTGCTTCTCTCCGCGCAAGCAGCAGAGCGGTGAGTTTGGAGAGCGCCAGGCCTCCTCGCCACGGAACTGAGCTGTCATCGTGACTCAGCGGCTGGCTGCCCGCTCTCACCGTGCAGCCTCGGAGCTGGGAGGACCAGCAGGCTGCCGTGGTCACCTGGGTGGCAGTGCCCTGGTCTGGTCGGCTCCGGGCTCAGGCCTCCGTCACTCCCGCAGGCTCCTCATCACCGGCCCGCCACCTTCCCCCTCCCCTTGGCCCCAAACACAATCACAGAACCTCCTCTTTCATCCCCTTCCTCCTCGGAGACTCGTGTGCCGCGTACAATGCGCGCTCACTGAAGATCTGGGGGAAAGGGAGGGTGAACGGGATTCAGGGGAGGAAATGGCTTCACAACATCATGTTTCTGGGATCCAGCAGCTGCCACTCACCACAGGGAATCGCCTCTGCCTTAACCCGGCCAAGCCCCCTCCCACACCAGGAACTCAAAGCCACACCCCCCCTTCCCCTGGGCTGCCAGAGGGATAACCCACATTCCTGGTGCTTGACTTCTGCTTCCAGAAAGGTGGACGGACGTGAACAGATATACTCTCCCTGCTCCTCCTGCTAAGCACGGCTGAAAGAAAACCCTGAACGTTACAGATAAAACAAACAGAGCACACCGAAAGGCGGACCGAGGAAGACAGCCAGCCAGCAACCTCAGGACCAGAGGTGCAATGTGGCAATAAGTTGCCTGGGCTGAATTTTTGCCTCGTGTATCTCAGACTAGGCGTTGGAGGAGCAGCAATCCAGAAAGTTCCAAAAAACTCAGACAACCCCCTTCCCGCCAACAAAGCCTCTGGAGCCAAACGTCCAGGAAAGGACCCCACAGACCTAACTGCAGCTCCGCTACCCACTTGGGCAGACTGGGGAGAAGGGTGGCCCCCCCTCAGCAAGGGAGGAGGAGGAGGCTCCCGCAGGCCCTGGGCCAGGGAGTGCGTGAGGAGCCAGGGCCTTCACAGCAGCTGGGCAGTAAGGAGCCCCTCTCGCTGGGGGCTCAGCAGAGACCACATGGGGCGCCTGAACGCCCACCCCCACCCAGGGTCTCTTCCTTCCGACAGGGTGGGGGCAGAAGGGGCCGGTGGGCAGGCAGCACTGTCCCCGCTGCCCAGCAGCAGCAAAGCCATCTCCCGGTGGGGTCCCCGAGGGTCACATTGTAACAGGGTGCAGCTAAGAGGGGGGCCCCAAATAGGGATTTGGAATGGGGTCCAGAACTCAAGGTGTTCAGGAAATATTAGGATGTCCTCACCCCCCGCCCCCACCCCACCACAGGTGTGGGTTGGGGGAAGGGACACATGGAGCAGGGCCATTGAGAGCTGATTTGCATAGCAACAGCCTTGCAGCTAACCTCTGGTGACGTCATTTAACATATCTATAACCTTTAACTGGTTACACAGATCTATTAAATAGCTGTGGCCATGCTCTGAGCCAGGGGAATGAAAGTAACTTCCCCACCAAGATGTACCTGGGGGGTCCCCGAGTTACAGTGCCTGTGTAGGAGCTTGGAGATGATTGGCTCCGTGACACGGGGCCACGCCTGCCCAGACTCATGATGGCGGCCCAGTGAAGCTGGAAAGGTATGAGAGTGCTGGCAGGTGTAGCCAATTGTGGGAGGAGTCGGAAGTGGGGCTGCAGAGGAAGATAGGCGGGGGATTTAAACCAAGCCTCAGCAGCCATTGGAAGGAGAACCTGCGGTTTTGGCTGAGTGGAGACTCCCGCAGCCATTGTGCAGAGAGGACCACATGGCTGGGGCAGTGGAGAACCTCGTGGCTTTGCCAGAGCGGGGACCCCCACAGCTTTAGGAGGGGAACAGCCACCCGGCTTTAGCAGAGATCCTGGAGACACAGCTGATGGTGCTGGGAACCGAGGGAGGCCTACCAGCCAAGACGGATTACTGGGAAGAACCAGGGTCTGCCTGAGCCACGGACTTCTGTTTCTTCTCCTGAGACACGGTACCCCAGACTGGGCAAACAGGGGAAGGAAGGATTGTGTGTGTTTGTGGGTGTTTTAAGGGACTTTGGGATTTTGATGAAGACATTAGGTCACCACTTTAAGTCTGTACAGCATTAAATAAACATTTTTCCTTTCCTTGTCATGAATCTCTGGCATTGACAGACGTCTTTCCTCTGGCAGCAGACATAACAGACCTGGGGGTTCCTTTTGGATAATAGTATGTTGCTCTCGGCCCTTTGGCCCCCCTTGGCCCCTTGTTGTTCTGGAACAACTTGGGGAG